GGCCTGATAAGTTTTTTGTGGTCTTCAATCAAAATACAGATGTGACGTCATCTTTTTGATCTTCTTTAAGTGGGATTTAGTAATTGAACAGTAACACACTAACACTATTTATGGAATAACAATCACTGGTTTATTAACATGCGACGTTTCGACGATGATACTCTCGTCTTTATCAAGCAAATGATAACATATATGTAGTTGTTGTTAGTGTTTAACGTCCGCTTCCACCGAAGGTGATATCGCAGACAAGTTGTCTTTTTTTTTTTATTATCTTAGCGCACGCGCAGGGGTCTTTCCTGTGGGAGGAAACCGGAGTACCCGGAGTAAACCCACGAGGTTGAGAAGGCGCCCCTATCTCCAAGCCACATACGCTCACGCCAGGGATCGAAACCACAACCGCAAGCCAGAGGTCGAAGCGTGACACTCTAGACCACTAGGCCATCCCAACCCCCCTAGGACATATATGTAAAACTTTAAGTATTTATATACAGTAAATACAGAAGCCATAAATATAGACCTTATATATAACTATAGCACTGATCAAAGCGATGATGACAAAGCCCTAAGTGGTTACAATGTACCGAAGCCATAATTAATTACATATCTATAAAGCAGGAGTAAACCTAATTAGTGATCAGTATTATTACAATGATACAAATAGGTGTTAAGCATTCATTAGGTATGCAATAACACACATTAACTATTGTTTTAAAAACATTGATGTTTAATTTATAATAATGGCGGATGTTAGATAGTGTACGAAGCACTAGATCATATATATACTTAAATATTAAAGTAATGATTAATATTAAGGGCTAATTCAATAAGCATATTCTGAATGTTATGAATAATAATAATAATGAAAAAGTAATCAGGGGCTAATCCGATATATGATAATTATATTGAATAAAATAAGTGAGAAAGTAACAACAATCATGATAACAAAATGTATTACTGGAAAATTATTGTATCGTATGCGTGGGGAAGATAGACTCCTACATCTCTGTTAAGGGCCGGCTTGTGTCGTCGGATCTGAATACTTTCCATGATTTTCCTTGTCTTCTTAACATGTTGGTTCGCGTTCATCACTTCTACTTTAGACCATTGAATTCTGTGTTTCTTATTGTTTCGCAAGTGTTCGGCGACTGCGGATTGGTTATCTTTGGATAGCGATTGGTGTTCCTTAATTCTGATGCTTAACGGTCTTTTAGTTTCTCCTATGTACTGGTTTTCACACGAGCAGGTCAGTTTGTATATGCAGCCTGTTGGTAGTGGAGGGTTTGATGGGGGGTTCTTCCCGTTAGCCTTTAGCAGTTGTTTAATTGTGGGTCACGTGGTAAAACTAGCGTCAATTCCTGCTCTGCTTAGTAATCTTCCTATTTCATATGATGTCTTGCCTATGAACGGAATGGATATTCTAACTGCTGTCTCGGGTTTGGGTGGGGGGTTAACTGCCTTCTGATGTTTAGTGATGGTAGCGGAGATAATATTTTCTACCACTTGAGGTGGATATTGGTTGAAATGGATGAACACATCTTTCAAGTGCTGTAATTCTGCTTCTATTTGCGGGGGATCACATATTTTAAGGGCGCGATGTGTCAGGGTTGTAATGATGCCTTTCTTAACTTGACTGGGGTGGTTTGATGAATGGTGTATATACTGGTTTTACATATATGTTATCATTTGCTTGATAAAGACGAAAGTATCATCGTCGAAACGTTGCATAAAAATAAACCAGTATTGTTATTCCATAAATAGTGTTAGTGTGCATCTTTTTGATGCTGGCGTACTAGTAGTAGTACTTCAAATAAAGTAGACCTTTATTGTACCTATAAAATTAATCAATTGCCTACAATTTCAAAGTGATCAATGACCAGAACTCTGGCAGTATTATCAGGAATCGTTGAATACCAATAGGATTCTTGCTCTCATTACCTCAAACACTGTGCATAAATTGACACTCGATCGGGTCTTAACTTTAGCCTTTGGGGTGTTCACAAGCAATTGTGGACAACGGACAGGGGTGGCGATTATATAAATGATTGCGATATATGTTGAAATAATTATACCGATTTGGGGCAGATTTGTGTCCCTTGGTTTCTGGCTCAAAACGATTTTAAATTAAATATGACAATTTGGCATAAAGCAAATACTGATATAATATATTGTGATACCACTTGCAATAATTGCAGATTTTGGTGGATTTGGTTGATACGGACAGGACTGTCGACAATATACGATCACATTTCAATATGGGCGTAAAACAAAAACCCAATATAAATGTTGCGCGATGAAATAATGTTGGTTTTGGATTGATTTATGTACCTTGGTTACGACTTCTAAACTTGCTTGGAAATTAAATGAAATGGGGTTTAACGTCCTACTGTTCTGCTCCTAAACTGGGCTAATGAAGACGGGCATACGCCATACAGTGTGCTATGGGGGAAATTTTGTCCGGGCAGCGGCACTACGGCCTACTCTTATATCGAATTCCAACTGCCAAGGGATCTTTTACGTGCACGCCAATGTGTACACGGGACCTCGGTTTTTCGTCCCATCCCAACGACTATAGACAGCTTTCCTTGTCAGGCCCTCCGTCCTGCATCACTGACAAGGGGGAACCACGCCGGAAAATCTGGATGAACTTTCTCGGCCAATGCAGGGATCGAACACCCGACCTCCAGGCTAGCGAGCCGGCGTCTTACCCACTTAGCCTCGTGATCCCCAAACTTGCTTGGAAATCGCACTTTGAAATCATTTTGGCACAAAACGCTACAATTTTTAACTGAATATGACAATTTACAATTTGGTATAAGGGACGGTATATCATCAAATACTAATATAAATTATTGTGATATGCCTTGAAATAACGGCGCATTTTGGTTGATTTGGGTTGACACGGATTTGGTCAAAAGAATGTTGCTTGCGTGTTTAATTAATTTAGAACCAGGCCCTACATGTGTGTAGCTTTTTCAGAAGTTAGCTCTGAGTGGAACTCAGACTATCTGATACCATTTATTTCGACAAGATGTCAACTAGATCTTGATGTTGCTTCCATCTTCCAGACACCACTAACTGCGACTGCGGGTTGAGACTAAAGCCCGTTCAGACGCCCAAGTTGAACTGGTTTAAAAACCCGGGCCATCGTTAAACGCCTGAACGCAAAGGTGGGGCAAATAAACCAGTTTAAAAACTCCAGCTCGTGACTTGTCTTCGAGAAGGCTTTTTATTTTAAACTGGTTCATCTTGGCCGTCTGAACAGGTTGGCTTAAAAAACCCATCTCGCTTTGGACATGCGAGTTCGCAGTAAGCAGCATTCGTGGGAAAATGGCGGCGGCATGCAGTGCCACATACTAAACATAGGCTGTCTGTCTACAGTTGTCCGCTTGAGAACAGACACTAAGCTAATTGACCGACATTTTTATTCCTAAATCGACGAAAACACTAAGAATACTTCGAGAATTTTGTTGAATATTTATTCTGCTTCCAGTTAATAAAATTGAAAAAGTTTATTTAGTCTTTGTGTGCATGACAGATGTGAAACTGAGTAGAAACGCATTACAAAACAGTATTTTCTGATATGGCGGCAGCACTTAGGGCAGAGATCTATTCTCGAGGAATGAAGTAGATGGATCTCTGTGTGCAGAATGGCAGTGCCAGTGTTATCGAAACGGGCAATATATTAATAATAATCGAGGGGTGAACTCGAGCGATGAGGAAAACCCTTTTCTCATTTCTGTGTGGGGAGAGGACGCTATCCATATCAATTTCAAGGTAATACCATTTGATGCGTCACGTGTGTAGGCATACGTGCAAAATTTTATTTCCAGAATCGATAAAATTTTGATTGTAAGCATTTTACACAAATCCCTGTTTTCTCATATTCTAGCATTTTATATTTTCTATCTATTATCTATCAGGAAAATGGGTACACAAAGTCCGCAGATGTGTGCAAGAACCGAATAAAGAATATCAATATGATGAATATAGTTTAACTGTTTCCTTTGAGATGCATCCTAAGAAAACGCATTTTAGAAGAACAGCGTGTTCTTTGGTTTTGTATATTAGAAGAACGGCGTGTTCCTCAGTTTTGCATTAATGAGGTCCATTATATGGTCCATGCTCATACCCTGACACACACTGATCAGAAGTGAATTTTCGCTAGGCCGCTACAATCACTGATAAGGATGACATTGATGCGACTTAATGAGTCCCAAATATTAACTTTTTTCTTCCGTCAAATTAAATTCTAAAACATTTTTTTCATTTATTAGAAAAATAAAGACGTTTGAACTGTTTGTAGGTAAAAATCATTTCCTATTTAGTGTAAATGGGTATTAAAATAAGTAAAATTCACCATTTAGCCCGAATCAGTAACGTCTTATGTAAACAATGCACGCGCCATTGAGCCAATGATTGATGCCGCGTGATGTGAAGTCACGTGTCGAAACAGTCATCTGTAACAGAGATATTAAAAGATCTCTGTAAAACAGATTGACCCTGACGATTAGTGGACATGTCAAATAGTGGCCCGGGTAGGCTTCCATATTCGACCGACAATCCGCCATTCACCTATTATTATCGCCATCAATATGGAGATGTGGCAGTAACCTCTATCAATACACTAAATGCCTCTAAAAAAAAAGGTTGTCACATCGCCTATGCAGGCCTTTGAGTTAAAATTTTAAAAGATCTCTGTAAAACAGATTGACCCTGACGATTAGTGGCCATGTCAAATAGTGGCCCGGATAGGCTTCCATATTCGACCGACAATCCGCCATTCACCTAAAAAAAAAAGGTTGTCACATCGCCTATGCAGGCCTTTGAGTTAAAATTTTGCTCCCATGGCAGGATAATCACCTCATGTATCTCGTCTACTAATTATAAATAATCAAACTTTACGTAACACCTTGTTTCGAAACCACACCTTTACGTAACTGTGATATTGCTGACCTCAATATTAAGTTCAAGACAAGCCAACCAGCAAGGCGCTTCCCAATCACGTGGGTTTTACATAACGGTTGATACTATTTTGTGACGGAAGACAAAATGCATTGAGTTATAAAACAGAACTGGTGTGTTCGGAGATTTATAAATCAGCAATGAGGACGTAATAATATTTTGAACGATGGTAGATTTAGCTAGAAACGCCTTTAGTACCCAAAACTTTGATCTAGCGGCAGAAATATACGAAAGAACCATCATTGAAAACGGGCCAAAAGTCGATCTTTATCTTGGGTTAGCTGACAGTTTTGCTAGAAGTGGTAAATTCACGAAAGCTTTTGAGGTTTATTCAGCAGCCTTTCGACTCGGTAGAGTGGGCCAGGAACATTTGAAACAGTTAGTGGCTGCACTAGTTGACACAGTTAAACAAGATCAACAAAATTCCATTCAAAAGAAATCATGTATGTTCACGTGCCTTCTTTGTCATGGGTTACTCAGTGATGCTGTGACAGTTCCGTGTGGCCATACGTATTGTCGGAAATGTCTGGAAAAAGACCCAACAAAAACGTGTAAAATATGTGGTGTGGTTCATTACAAACTTAAAATCAGCAGTATTCAGTCAAATATATTATTATGTAAATTAATTGAAAAATGGTTCGCAAAAGAACATAACGCGACTTCATTAAAATCTAAAGGAAATGAACATTTTGAGAAAGGTGATTTTATAATGGCTATAAACATTTATTCTGAGGCCATTTCGTTAGGTAGGTGTACTTTTGTTTGGTGTTGAATCTGTTATACGTGACCTATAATTTATAAAACAAGAGGTAAGCGATGTAAACGGTTTTCAAGTTATATAAAAATGACTCTGTAATAATGGCCGCCATAACGGCTGTTATTTACTTTGCTTGCAACTTAGAGTGGTAGGCCTAATATCTCATCGAATTATTGTTTTTTTTTTAAAAACTGGTTTAAAAGTGGCATATTGGTAGATCATGTATTCGACTATGAAGTCAATAATGCTTATGTATATAGTCATTTAATATAGAAAAGTCAATAATATGCTTATGTAATCCGGAGGGAGGCAGGTCAATAATTATTGACATGCCTTCCAAAACACAATTTTCGGCCAATCAGGTACCTCTATCAAGTTATGACGCATGTTGACCCTGAATACCTTGTTCTCTAGTTTAAATAATAATACTACACCAAATATACACTTAACTTACTTCTGGTTTCTGTTAATTAAAGTCAATAAGTGTCAAGTGTGTCATAGAGGAAAAATTGATTTATATTTCTGTAATCCATAACTGCTTTTGAACTATTACTATTAAAAAAAACGAAGTAGGCTACAATTAAAGGCGCTAAATCACTAATATTAGTAATATTCGGGACCTAGAAATTGACACAAATGGGTCGTAACGCATGTAATAATGTAATATGAATGTGTATAAACGGATTTACATTCAATCGTTTCTGTTTTTATTGTAATTTCTAATCAGTTTTTTTCGGGGAAATGCGCCAAAGTCCCAATTAAATGACAATCTTTATCGTCTGGTTATTCCAGTCTACGCTGATGATATTTATTGCGCATGCTCTCCAGATAAGAATATAGCGTCACCATTTGACATGACTTGTGGAATATGTCTAGCCTCGTTCTTTGAGTCCCTTGTTCCAAATGGTGCTGAAACGCATTATGGTACACGTACGATTCGTGTACCAATGGTAAAATGTTTATTTTGTCTTGAATATTGGATATCAGAAGCCCATCTTTTCCCTGTATGATCACAAGACCAATGTTGATTTGAATTGACAAATAATTTGTGTTTTCAATGTCGAAGATTTTTTAAGGATATTGAGTTGGCTACTTTAAGTGTAGGCCTACAAGAAATGAACTAGATTTTGGACTATAGGTTTTGGATCAATAGACTTGGCTACTTTAAGTGTAGGCCTACAAGAAATGAACTAGATTTTGGACTATAGGTTTTGGATCAATAGAAACAGACTAAAGATAGGCCTATAGACAGTAAATTGACATTGACAGGTCAGTGAGCAGTTATGACATAAAAATGCTACGATTTTCAATTAAAAATGACCATTTGTGTATAATTTGGCATAAAGAACGGTACTATTGTCATGAGTTGAAATAACTGGTGGATTTAGTTAAGAGTTACAACTTCCAAACTTAATGGAAATCACTTTTTTGAGGTGCATTTTTCTCAAAAATGTTATGATTTTAAAAATGGCAATTTGGCATAAAGTACTGTACCGTAAGCTTATATTATCAAATACTGGTATCGATATAAATTATTGTTATTACATTGTTTGGTGGATTTTGATTAGTTATTGTGCAAAAAGCTTGCACTAAACAACAGTAACATAACAATAACAAAGGATATAATATTATTACAGTGTGTTATGGTTGGGTACATGTACCGGTATGTACATTGTTACAATTCCAAACCCTAAAGAATATATAGACTAGACAAACTTAAAAAATGGTTCCAATTGCTGTTTCATTTTTTACTAACCATGTCCACATTTGCATGGAATTGCCCTATATAAACAGGTGATTACTTAGTTCTTATGTGCTACATATTAAATATAACTATTTGATATCTTGATTCAAGTGATGTTACAGTTAAATAAATTCTAATAAAACCTAATCATCTCTTGTAAAGCATTAAAAGCTCGATTTGCCCGACATTTTAAAACGTAACAGGTTTGACGTCTTAAATGTCATGAAGGCAGGGCTAATTTTATGTCATGTACAACAGCCAATTAAAATACACAAATAGAGAACTTTAATGGGTCACGCATGACTTATGCACCGTAAGGGTAAACTTACGTGTTCTTTAGGCCTATCATAGGCATTTTTTACATATGTACATGTACTATCATCAGCTGATCCAGAACAAATCAGCAAGAATTATATAAAACTAAAATAAGACAAGCAGAGAATATAACTTTGGTCCACATGGATTTACACTGGCTTACAGTTAGTCAAAGAATAGTTTTTATACGCCCACATGGAAATGTGGTCGTATATTGTCATCGCCCCTGTCCTTTGGTCCGGCGTCCACAATGGCTTGTGAACGCTCTAGAGGCTAAAGTTAATATCCGATTGACTTTAAATTTATACACAGTGTTTAAGGTCATGAGATGAAGAAGCCTATTCATTTTCAACAATTTCCGATATGGTAATTACATGTACTGCTAGTTATGAACCTTGATCACTATGAAAAATATTGTGGACGCTCTAGAGGCTGAAGTTAGGGTCTTTATTTAAAATGTTTTGTACGGTATACTAAAAGTTAATACTTGGCAGAACTATTAGAACTTAGCCAAACAAATTCTGATGATTTCTGATAATGACTTAATGAGTTGTTACTTAGCTGCTGTGGACGTATGTTTCGTTGATTGGCAACCTATCTTTATATTATTTGTATTAGCCTACAACTGTCTTCATTGTAATTTCAGATAAAGAAAATCATCTGTTATTGAGCAATAGATCTCATGCTTTATTTTCTATAGACCGGTTTACAGAGGCACTAGAAGATGCTGATATTGTTGTATCGATAAGACCTGACTGGCCAAAAGTAAGTACTGCTACTTAGTTATATTTGAGAGCCATGGTGGGTAAGACGCTGGCTCGCAAGCCTGGAGGTCGCGGGTTTGCTCCCGGTGTTGGCCGAGAAAGCTCATCAAGATTTTCTGGTGTGATTTCCCCACATGTCAGTGGTGTAGGATGGAGAGCCTGCCTTGGTTGGTCAACCATATCGAGTTTAAATGTCTTCCAATATCTGTCAAAAGCCTTTGTCTTTTAGCTTGGTATTTGAGAAGTATTAGTGTTTCTTTTATACAACCACCAAATTGGGGTACCAGGAATAAGAATCACGAATATTTCCCAATAATTTATACTCATCTACCCGACCAATTGCTACTCATACACACATCATTTTTGTTCAGTCATACGGTGTATATTTTACTTAGAGTCAAATACATTATAATCATATAATGCAATGGTCATGATTTTTTAAGTATTTTTGCCAAATACCACCGCGTAAGAATGTAGTCCCCATTTACTAGATTATTATTGTTTTTGACGGGGTTTGGATCACATGTGAACTACCGTTTTCCTGCGTGATTTATTACGTATGGAAATAATTGATGTGAATTTCTGATTTAAATAAACTGAACAAGTGTGTAATTTACTAGTATTTAATTCAATATTTAGATAGTTGATAATGATTAACGGATTATTGTTGATCGGTTCTTTATATTTTGGCAAGTTTTTGATCACGTGACATACCTTTTTGCCCAGTGATTTATGGAAATGAAATGAAATGGGGCTTAACATCCTACTGTTTTGCTCCTAAACTGGGCTAATGAAGACGGTAGTGATTTATGGTGTAAAAACAAATCATATATACAATACATACAGTATTTTGATATTTGGATATAATAGCAGCCATTGATCAATGGATTACACGTACGTTGTACTTGCCATGATGGGGAAGTTATAGATTAACTGACAACATGGGCATATAAAAATATGTGACAACCCTTGTTGACTGCTTGGACGACTTAGCTGCCGTGGGAGTATGTATTGTTGCCTGGTAATCTGTCTTTATTATAAACTATATTGTCAGTTTTCCTTATCCTGTTATATCCCTATTATATGTTATTTAAAGACTATACATGTACATGTAGGCCTATCTATAAATATTTGGTACTGAAATTAAAACTTATATTATTTTTACCAGGGCTATTTCCGTAAAGGTTGTGCATTGTATGGTCTTGGAAAATATGAAGATGCAGTTATATCATTTTTACAGTGCTTAGCTTTAGATGCCAATGTTGCCTCAGCTAGAGGATATCTTGCCAAGGTATATTTTTAAATCTCACTGAAAATCTTCCAAGAAACCTTCCGCATGACTGTGAGACACTTGATATTTATGTCCCTTTATGTTATGGTACACATAAATGATGTCTGCAGAACACATGTTACTTGTAATTGTGTCCATTTGTAATTTAAATTCAACCACACATTCGTCACTTTGTTATAATCTAAGTTAAATGCCTATGGCCCTTAATCACTTTGAAAAACTTATCTGCGCTCTAGAGTCAAAACTTAGTCATCCAATAGACATTGAATTATATGCACAGTGTTTATAGTCATAAAAAATCTTGTAGCTGTTCTGTCTAGTGACTAAAGTTATCATTTAAATTTATATATCAAATATATGTACAGGGTTTCGGGTCATGAATCCTATTGATTTCCAGACTTATGTCCCTTGATTTATTTGAAAAATGTTGTGGCTGTTCTAGAGACTAAAGTTATCATCTGATTGACTTTAAATTAATATACACTGTTTATGGTCATAAGACGAAGAATCCTATTGATTTTCAACAATTTCCGGTAATTACTGCCAGAGTTCTGGTCCTTGATCACTTTGAAAAATATTGTGGACACTCTAAGAAGCTAAAGTTAATATCCGATTGACATTAAATTTATACACAGTGTTTAAGATCATGAGACGAAGAAGCCTATTTATTTCCAATTTACTGCAAGAGTCATGGCCCTTGATTTCTTAAGAAATCTTGTGGACGCGCTAGAGACTAAAGTTAATATAAATACATGTACAGTGTTTAAGGACATGAGACAAACAATCAAAACAAATTCTAATCATTTCTGATAATTACTTAATGTGCTGTTGTTACTCGTTATTCAGATTTTAGTGTGTTGTAAATGTTTTCATTACTGCCAAAAGAAAAAATATGCAACAACCCTTGTTGACTGCACCGACAGCTTAGCTGCTGTGGGTGTATGTTTTGTTGCCTGTCAACCTATCTTTTAAATGCTCTGATTACCTACAAAACAATAAATATGCGACAACCCTTGTTGACTACCCGGACGACTTTAGCTGCTGTGGTTGTATGTTTCGTTGTCTGACAACCTACAATGTATGTTTAATGGATGAAAGATTTCTTGTTTCAATATTAAATCTTAGGCAAGGCCATCCAATTTCATCCCCAATTTTTGTTTTGAAACGATATTTACCCTGATGTCTTTCTATAGCAGCCAATCATTGTAAAGTTGAAAAAAACTAAAAATTAACACAAAACAAACTCTGATTTTTTCAGCAAAAGCAAAAGCATCTAAGACTTCTAGTTGTCTAATAACAGTGTATGACATGTACGTGTAGCTAGCTTATGTATAAATTATGTATTTTTTTTTCTTTCAGTCGTTACATTACATATTATCACAGCTTCCACCTGATGATCCTAAGGGACTGGCTTTGCAAAACCGAATGAATCCATCTATGTTAGATAAACTTATAAAAGAGAATTTTAATACATCTATACTACTTCCAGAATTAAATTTGAGCTCCTTATTACAACTACAAAATATCATTGATGAGAAAATAACATCTTCTTATAATTTGGATGCCACTGGTGCTGCTACAACAGAAGAGGTAATGATGAGGCAAATATTTATGCTTTCCTAGAATATGTAATGTGATATATTAATTTTTATTATACGTCTACATTTTCATGTGGATATATAAAATGCTGTAGCCCATGTCCATCCATTCTGATTTGTATGTGGGTACTCTACAGGTCACAGTTTATATCTGATTTAAAGATGCATTATGTAAGACTTAAATAAAGAGCTGTCTGTTCTTGCTATAATAATTCATAAATAGATAAATCAAAATTAATATATTGAAAATTTCATTCAAATTTAGCTCTTACATAATGAATGTTTAAGTAATTTTGATGAAAAATATATGTTTATATCCCAAAGATCTTGCATCCATTCAATTGTGGCTTGCTAGCAGGGAGATCTCGGGTTTGCTCCCGGTGTTGATTGAGAAAGATCCATGGGATTTTCCGGCATGGTTTTTGCTTGTTAATGATGCAGATTAGAGGGCCTGACTAGGACAGCTGTCTAGTCGTTCGGATGGGATGAAATACATAGGTCCCGTGTACATATTGGCGTGCAGGTAAAAGAACCCTTGACAGTTTTAATTCGATATAAGAGTAGGCCGTAGTGCTGCTGTCTGGTCAAAATTACCCTCATAGTACACAGCATAGCACATGCCCATCTTCATTAGCCCAGTCTGTGCAGAAAACTAGGATTTTAAATCCGATTTCATTTCATTGTCGGAAGAAATAACAAACCCCTCCCAAGCTTTAGGAAGGCATTCTATTTGAGTTTTAGGTGCATAAGTGCAGATCAAAAACTGTCTGTTCAACATGAAGCTCACTGAAGAATGTCACTTCAGATACCTGGAAAGCTACATTTTAATATTACATATTACATTGGATTATTGTTACATATTACATTTGATAATTTTTATGACTATGCAATGGAAGTGTTTTATTTTTGATTGTGTTTATTATAGGGTACAACAAGTACATGTATGTCATCAAGTTCTGACCGACAAAGATGTAAGTCAACTTGATTTTACACTTACTACTACCTACATATCTTTTTGATGGCTGTTTCTTGTCTGCAGGGTTTCTCTTATTGGCTTCTGTTTATGTGCCCAACCTCGTGGGTTTTCTCTGGGACCTCTGGTTTCCTCCCATTGCTAAAGACCCGTACGTGCAAGTGAATTATTGTCCCCCGCCTTTCGAAGAAAGCAGGGGACTATTAAAATGGGTTCGTCCGTCTGTCTGTCTGTCTGTCTGTCTGTCCGTCTGTCCGTCTGTCTGTCCGTCACACTTTTTGGGACACAATAACTCTCTTCCTAATTGAGCTAGAATGTTCAAACTTGGTGTATGTGTTTATTAGGTCAATGCCTTGATGGAGTTCGAAGATGAGCATTTTCCGCTTAGGGTAAGCAGAGATAAGCAATTTGATTGGTTGATGCTTTGGGACACGATAACTCTCTTCCTAATTGGGCTAGAATGTTCAAACTTGGTGTATGTGTTGATTAGGTCAATGCCTTGATGGAGTTCAAAGATGAGCATTTTCCGCTTAGGGTAAGCAGAGATAAGCAATTTGATTGGTTGATGCTTTGGGACACGATAACTTTTAATTGAGCTAGAATGTTCAAACTTGGTGTATGTGTTTATTAGGTCAATGCCTTGATGGAGTTCGAAGATGAGCATTTTCCGCTTAGGGTAAGCAGAGATAAGCAATTTGATTGGTTGATACTTTGGGGCACGATAACTCTCTTCCTAATTGAGCTAGAATGTTCAAAATTGGTGTATGTGTTGATTAGGTCAATGCCTTGATGGAGTTCGAAGATGAGCATTTTCCGCTGAGGGTAAGCAGAGATAAGCAATTTGATTGGTTGATGCTTTGGGACACGATAACTTTAGTTCTAATTAAGTGAGATTGATGAAACTTGGTGTATAGTTTCATTACAGTAATACCTTGACTAAGTTTGATAATGAGCATTTTCTGCTCAGGGTAAGCAGAGCGATACGCAATTTGATTGGTCGAGACTTTGGAAAACAATAACTCTCCTACTTTGATTGTTAGACTATAAGTAAAGATATACTGTTTGATTGTTCAATACTTTGTAAAAGATAATTTGTGATAAATTTATATGTGTCCTCTAATTATTTTCCTATTTCGGCGGGGGACATCAGCCTCACTGTTGGCTTGTTGAAATAACATCATACCGTATGTTAATCACGAAATGACATAGTTTGTGTCGAGTGGACATTAAACCCCATTTCTCTCGCAGTGACAGCCTTTATAGATTACTTTTAAAACTTTGCTGTCATGAACATATGTTTCATTGCCTGGTAGCTTCACTTTGACATAAAGTTCCACAATCCGTCAACTTGAATAGACAGGTAGACGACATAGCTGTTGGGGTTGAATGTTTCTTTGCTTGGCCATCTGTCTTTCACATGAAAAACAAGTTTACAAAAGGTTCATTTTTTGTCTTATTTTTCGTTCAGGGAAATCTGAAAATGATGTAAGCACACAGTCATCAAATGAAAATGAAAGATCCAGATCCCTATCTCCATCACGTAGTAACTTGAGTAGAAAACGTGGACGTGTACTCTCACAGAATATACCAACCAGTCCAATTAGTTCTACACCACAAAAAGTTCTCAGTAAGTAAACATCAGATTATTTCAGTATTATTGTAGCTTCATGTCAAATAAAGCATAAAATTAATACCCAATTTTTATGCCCAGAAGTACAGTATTGTACTGATTATTGTAAAAAAGGTTTATTAAATTTTAGTACGAAAATTTACCAATCATCAAAACTTGGTGATATTTAAGCTGAGATACTCTCTCTGTAAATATCAGTTTTATTGATGTTTATACTAATTTTTATTACAGAATCAGAAAATATGCCAAACCATGTGCAGGGTGATGTGCGCCCCATTTGTAATGAACTGTTGAACAAAGAAGATTTAGAATGTGCATTATGTTATAGATTATTTTATGAACCAGTTACCACACCATGTGGTCATGTATTCTGTAAACAATGTTTAGAAAGATGTCTAGATCATCAGACTTGTTGTCCTCTATGTAAAAGTTCTTTAGTTGAGGTAAATATCATTTTATAATCTTCAGCTTTGTATTTTGTGAAGTTTTAACAAAAATGAAGATTCCAAACATTACATAAGCTTTATTTGACTTGATAACTTTAAATCTAGATTGTTATCTTACTTAAAATTTTTTTCTTTTACATTTTATACACCCACATTTTCATGTGGACGTATCACTGTAACCTGTGTATCATTAAATCTCGTGTATTTAGCACTAATTACTTTCACGTTCGTTTGATATCAAATCTTTGTTTAAAAATTCATAAAAATCATTTAAAATCACCCCAAATCTTCTAATTTGCACTTGTGTCCAATTTAAAGCTGACTGATTAGTTTGATAATGAGTGTCCTATTTACAAGTATTTAATTGCCTGACCACTGTCCAAACATTAATCATTATACATCAATAATCAATTGGGTTGTTTATATTTTAACAGTGGTCAGGAAATTAAACGTTTGTAAATCGACAACCATTATCAAAATTAATCAGTCGCTTTAAACTGGACTCAAGTACAAATTAATTGATTTTTTGTGATTTTAAACGATTTTTATGAATTTCTAAACAAATATTTGATATTAAAGAATCTGAAAGAAATTAGTGCTAAATGCACAAGATTAAATGATACCCTGGTTACAGTGTATGTTGTCACTCCTGTTCACTACAACTCAGGTATCATGTAGTTGTGCTGTTTTAGCAGGAGCTTCAGAATTTAATGTTTAGTTTTAAACTACTGTTGTTGAGAATCATCAAAATCTATTCTGACTAGATTAGATAATGAGTGTTTGGTTTACAGCTGTTTACAACGTGATAGAGGTTACAGTTTTGGAATGATTCTTTTCAAATTTGTTGTAATGGATGAACCCTAACAGACTAATATATTACTCATCACCTTTTGGGAAAGTCAACAGTTGTAAACCCAACACTCATTATTTAATCTAGACAGATCATTTTAAATTTTAGAAATTTATCTTGTTTTTGTTTTGGTCCTCACCAAGTTATTTATCTTTATTAATGGAATCTTATATTTTTATATACAGTATTTAGCAGAAAGAAGACGGTCAGTTACAGAATCTATACAAAGTATAATACAGACATATTTTTATGAACATTTTGTTCAGAGAAAAACTCAACATGATGAAGAAGTAGCAGAACTTGCTAAGTATGATTTTATTTTATACCTGAGAAAATGTCTAAAAACTATCAAATTATAAAATTATTAAAATAATAACTATGTTTTTTCTGTATAATATGGCTGTTTCTAACTGTATGCTATTTACATCTGTAAATGATTATTTATAACTGTGTGTACTTCTTTATAATGGTATAGTAATAAAAATAGTTTTATTTATGTACTATTTATAACAATTCACTTCTATAACGAGTTCATAATTCATCTATAAATGTAATTTAATATTACATTTTCATGTCTATATAAGATTACTTAATTGATATGTAAAATACAATATCATTATGCATTGCTTCTCTAATGTTAATTTTCCGATCTGCAATATAAATAGAAATGATTATTTAACTTCCAGAATGGGATTAGATAATAATGAGATTCCAGTATTTGTTTGCACATTGGGCTATCCAGGAGTTCCTTGTCCTCTCCATATTTATGAACCACGTTATAGATTAATGATACGTCAGTGTATGGAGTCAGGAACACGTCAATTTGGAATGTGTATTAAAACTTCCGATCCTGAGTAAGTAAATTATTTTAAGATGTATTATCTAATGATTTACCCAGGGTTCTTAATCCATTTTGAAACGAACCAGCTAGAATGGGTCCATTTAATATAACCAGACGTCAACAAAAGAGTAATTTTTGGTCATTTGTTATGGAGAATGTTGTATTCTAATGTATGTGATTACCACAAAATAACGACAAATAGGTACACCTTTCGGAAAATTTTCCAGATTCTGTCGGAAAAATATATTATTAATGACTGTTTCTCTAGTGCTTGGTATTGCCATTGCAGTCACGATATAATATATTTTGGGATTCACGTCAATATTTAACAAGAAAACAACAGGATAAATGAATAATTGATTTAAGTCCTGCCGATGTCAAATATGGAATTCGCATTGTTCCTGAGATTCCTGAGCGTCTAATTCACCATGTGGCTTATTTTCACAAAGGCAACTTACTGGACCTGCTATGAATAATCGGCAAGCTTGTTGTTTTTTTTACGGTATTATCAAAATTCCTGTTAAATGTGCTAATTACTCGGATATAAACCACATGGCTGATTCTCACTAAGGTATTAACTTCTTAATCAACAAGAAATATTACATCCGGATGGTCATTTTTTTCTTGTTTTTTTTTATTTCAGAGATGGTTTTTCCGATATTGGTTGTATGTTAGAAATCCGTGATGTTCAATTTTTTGCTGATGGTCGATCAATATTAGATACTGTGGGAGGAAGACGTTTCCGTGTATTAAGCAAAGGTCATCGTGACGGTTATGATACAGCTAAAGTAGAATTTCTTAAAGAAACACCAATAGATCAAAGTGATATAGATGGTTAGTATTTTAATTATATATTATAAACTATATATAGAGATGACTAGTAAAATAGCCTATTTATTTCAATAATTCACTTGCGTATAAAGGTAACCATGGGACCCAGTTTCATGTGAACATATTATGTCGTAGCCACTGTCCGACGATGTCCGTTCACATTTGTTTGTGGATCCTTTAATGAAACATAAAATATATGGTTATATCCTAAAGGTCTCAGAATAGTTTGATTTTTTTCATGTATCAGACCATAACTTCATGGATTGTGGCTCCTGTTTGTACGAAAAAACCCGCTTTTAGCTTGTGGACACTCTAGAGTTCACAATTTTTATCCGATTATGATCGAACTTAACGTTTATATCCCAAAGTATTTATATGGGTTTGATTTTGGAAAATATAAGACCAAAACTTCATGGATTGTGGCTCCTGATTGTACATTAACTCACGTTTTTAGCTTGTGAACCCTCTAGAGATCACAGTTTTATCCGATTTTAAAAACCATTCTTGAATATTTGCGTTACACCATAATCAAGGATGGGTTTGAATTTTAATACGGGGCGAAATGCAGAATTGTGATTATAAATGGTTGCAAACTAACTGGTTTCCTGTCCCCTGAGGCTGAGAGCCAGCAAGCAAGGATGATTGATCAATGGTGCATGTAAGTGCATTGAGAGCAATTGGCTTTTAGTATCGCTGGATCTGTTCGGAACAAGGGAAGGGCAGCAGGAAAAGATGGCACAATGTTGTCATTAGGGCAATGGGAATATGATGAAATTGATGCGGTATTTCCGTGAGTATTTGACTCATTACTCTTTTCGAATTCAAGGGCACTGTTTCGAAAGTGAGGGCACATAGCCACACACACACACACACATATACCATGGTAGGAAATCTCATCAGATTCGAACGTTATCAAACATTAATGAGGGCCGACATGTACCCACCCAACATGCCCTTTGCCAACAGTTGTATTCAATTTTGAAAACTTTATATTACGTTATTCGATTTTTAGATAATTACATGAATAATGTAGAATAAAATGTTTGTATGTTTTGTATATTTTAGAAGTATTAAAACTACAAGAGGAAACCTATGAAGCTTGTAGATCATGGATAAATAATTTAAGGTTGGATTGTCAACATAAAATTATTAACCATTTTGGAGCGTTTCCTCCTCAAGATCCTACACCACATACTTCACCAAATGGACCTCAATGGGCCTGGTGGGTGACTGCTGTTCTTCCACTGGATCCTAAAGTTCAACAAGCCTTGTTAGCTATGACCTCTCTGAAAGATCGTTTGCAGGCTTTAAAAAAAGTCATGAATTATTTAAATAAAAAACACTCCAAATGACTGCTAATAATCCACTCATTTTTAACATCAGAGTTTTTCTGGTATTTTTGTATGAGTGTTCTTGTTTTGTACGTGTCTTGGTTTAGTCAAGATTTCTGATACAATTATATTTGTACTACCTCCTTGAAATCCCTCTCTATGCACAATAAATTCACAGACATGTAGTGTTGAAAGGTACTTTCTCATTTACATTAGATGTAATTATTAAAATATTGAGAATAACCTCTGTAAATTAAGTACTAGGGACCGATATTATGTATTGGTATAAAGTTTCATGTAGTGTTTGTTTTAGCACTTTTACATTACCATTATGTAATATTTAGCTTTAATGAAGCTGGTTAAAACATTCATTGTAGTATTCTGTGATTTGTTAATGTCATCATGAAATTGTTTTTTTATTTTAACCTTTAACATACCTGATAATGTTTTAATTGACAGTATTTGGTCATTAATGTGGTCATATATTTCTGATAATTACCTATAGAGTTATTGTCCTTTATTGTCCCCCACCTTTCGAAGAAAGCAGGGGACTATTAAAATGGGTTCGTCTGTCGGTCCGTCCGTCCGTGGGGGGTTGGATGGCTGAATGGTTAGCGTGCGCGCGCTGTATCATAAAGTCTGTCATTGAGTCGACTGGCGTGGTTTCGAATCCCCGGTTGTACGTGGCAAGGAGTAGGGTCGCCTGTCCAACCTCGTGGGTTTTCTCCGGGTCCTCCGGTTTCCTCCCACTGCTAAAGACCCCTACGCGCAAGCGAATTATGTAAATAAAATTAAACCATATGTTAGTCCCGAAATGACCTAGTTTGTGTCGAGTGGACGTTAAACCCCATTTCTCTCTCTCTCCCCGTCCGTCTGTCCGTCGGTCCGTGGTGTAGGTGTTTATTAGATCAATGCCTTGATGGAGTTCGAAGATTAGCATTTTCTGCTTAGGGTAAGCAGAGATAAGCAATTTGATTGATTGATGCTTTGGGACACGATAACTTTAGTTCTAATTAAGTGAGAGTGATGAAACTTGGAGTATAGTTTCATTACATCAATACCTTGACTAAGTTCGATAATGAGCATTTTCTGCTCAGGGTAAGCAGAGCAATAAGCAATTTGATTGGCCGAGACTTTGGAACACAATAACTCTCCTCCTAATTGAGCTAAAATGTTCAAACTTGGTGTAGGTGTTTATTAGGTCAATGCCTTGATGGAATGTGAAGATGGGCATTTTCTGCTAAGGGTAAGCAGAGATAAGCAATTTGATTGGTTGATGCTTTGGGACACGATAACTTTAGTTCCATTTAAGTGAGAGTGATGAAACTTGGTGTATAGTTTCATTACATCAATACCTTGACTAAGTTCGATATTGAGCATTTTCTGCTAAGGGTAAGCAGAGCGATAAGCAATTTGATTGGCCGAGACTTTGGAACACAATAACTCTCCTTCTAATTGAGCTAGAATGTTCAAACTTGGTGTAGGTGTTTATGAGGTCAATGCCTCGATAGAGTGCGAAGATGAGCATTTTCTGCTTATGTTAAGTAGAGATAAGCAATTTGATTGGTTGATGCTTTGGGACACGATAACTTTAGTTCTAATTAAGTGAGAGTGATGAAACTTGGTGTATAGTTTCATTACATCAATACCTTGACTAAATTCGATGATGAGAATTGTCTGCTTAGGCTAAGGAGCAATAAGCATTTTGATTGGTCAAGACCTTGGAACATAATAACTCTGCTTCTAATTGAGGTAGACTGTTTAAGCTTGATGTAGATGTTCGTCTTGACTTGAGTTCAATGATTAACATATCGAGCTAAAGCTAAGCAGAGATAAGCAATTTCTTTGGTCGATGCTTTGGGACAAGATAACTTTGATTCTATTTGATAGAGAGTGGTGAAACTTAGTGTATAGTTGATAATCAGTTTGATTGCTCGATACTTTTGAAAAAAATAGATGTGCAATTAATTAATATGTGTCATCTATTTATTTTGGGATTTCGGCGGGGACATTTACTTTTTACCGCAAAGGCCTACCCATAACCAGAAAAATGACAAATAAAACTAATTATATATTTGTTTCCCGAAAGGGTTGTGGGATAAGGCCCCGATGTCTAACCCTATCTTCGCAAAAGCATAAGGTGGGATATTTTCAACGTCATGATTTTACATCCAAAACTGAAAATCTATAAGTATATGTGATGTGGGTAGCCATCCCATATTTCTCTCATGAAGCTACTAGTTTCATTCTTATGCGAACTCTTTACGCTTAATTGATATTGTGCGGATGTTCCCTTTATATGGGCGTGGGGGATCAAAGCACAATAGATATCTGAGATGGACCAGAGCAATTCTGTTTCATCAGAGTCGATGCTTTTATAATTATGTGAGAACAGACTCCGAATCCTATTGACTGTATCGTTTAAAATAAACAAACATAATATGGGAACTATTTGGATAACTAGACTAGGTTATTGAAGTGTATTTGCACAATTTTTAAAAAAAAAATACTATCAGTTTCTATATTAATACCAACTTCATTGTTTAATGCAGATTAGTATGTTTGGTGAATTACATGTTCATTCTGTTTACTTAGCCAGTTTAAAAACCAATGTTAAAGTGGAAGAAATTATCATCCCTGGTATCAATGCCATTTTAAATTTATTATGTTAGTAATAAATATTGTCTCTAGATACAGAGATCACTACCTCAGAAATGATCCAAATTTGCTGAATAGAAGTAAAAGTATATTCCATTCATCAAGAAAATTATATTACATTCAATTTATATGTGTCAGATCAGGTGCCTTATAGTAATCCTATTTTGTCTAAACACAATGATAATTTGAGTCCAAAAGATGAGATATTGAATGAGTTTTGGTATCAAGTCAGGGTAGATAATAAAACTAGGATTAATTCCTCCTCTGTGTGCAATATATGATTAATGAAGAAGAGGAATTGTGTATATTATAGTGATTGTTGGTCTTTGAGTAAGTTATTTTTAGCAAAGTAAATTAATGGTATTTTTTGTTACCGTTTGTGATAAGATGTTGATATGTGATAAATATAACCACAGACAATTTTCCTACTGATCTTACTGTTAGTTATATCATGAATTATTTATTATTTAGTCCATTGTTTTTGATATAGTTAAGTACATGATAAGTCAAACACAAAGACTTAATTTAAAATTTTATGATAGGAACCAGGGCCCTGTTTCACAAAATTTTAACTAAAGGTAAAATCCAAATTTTAGTAAATACTTCAATTTTGGTTGGCTAAGCACTACAATCAGTCTAATATTATCCAATCAAATTACTAAAATTAGGATTTTATCTTAGTTAAAATTTCGTGAAACAGGCCACAGATTTTGATGTAGATAGTTTTATAAATAACAATACTCAAGTAAAAATTTATGAACAGAAAATATTCACGAATTAAAAAAAAAACGTTTGTATAGATAAATTCCTTGAGAAAAGCAGATTTCTTGGAAATAATATTTAAAATTTAGACATATTAGATTCTCTTTGATCTTTGTATATATTATGATTTCAATATTTAAATCAGATTTTTGCTTTATTTGAACAGTATCATTATTGTTTATTCGATTTCAATAATTATTGAGAAGTACTCAAGTTATTTCTTTAATCGCCAATCAGTGATGTTTTAGTTGAAAATTATATTATAATCATGGTAAAAAACCCTATTTCATTTCATTATAGTCATGGTAAATGTAATAATCATTATCACATCATAGTTTTCTACATGATATTACTAATTCAACCCTCTCCCATCCTATATGGTGGACATATTTTAAAATAATCAGTAAATAATTGCAATATTATTAAACTTTCAATACTGAATGAGATATTTTTCAACAGACCTTAATATGAAATTTTAGTTGAGTTTATATAAAACCCCAAATTGTAAATTACTTGTGTATAATACTATTATATTATCTGTTGATGAAATGATGAATAAATTCTTGTTTAACTTCAGTATTTTACTCTTATATTAACTGGACAATGTACATAAAATTTAAATGATTAGAAGGAAGGGTTAAAAATACTGATCACTGGTATCTTCTTTCCCAAATCTTGGATTCCTTTTCATAGCCCATATTAAAATGTGGGCGTAAAGTCTGATTTCCGAACCTAAACTACTCATGTTATGATTTGGTTATCTATGGCTTTTTTTCTGATAATTTGATGGGTTGCTAATCTTGAGGATTATGAGTAAAAATTTATCAAACAAAACACTGGAAATAGATATATTTCCTCCATTGGGTATATCCTATAAGAATGTCACCCCCATAAGGTTGGGTCTTATGCATCCACACAAGAGTTCCTGAAAAATTCGGAAAAGACTTGTATTTGTCCCCCGCCTTTCGAAGAAAGCAGGGGACTATTAAAATGGGTTCGTCCGTCTGTCTGTCTGTCTGTCCGTCTGTCTGTCCGTCACACTTTTTGGGACACAATAACTCTCTTCCTAATTGAGCTAGAATGTTCAAACTTGGTGTATGTGTTTATTAGGTCAATGCCTTGATGGAGTTCGAAGATGAGCATTTTCCGCTTAGGGTAAGCAGAGATAAGCAATTTGATTGGTTGATGCTTTGGGACACGATAACTCTCTTCCTAATTGGGCTAGAATGTTCAAACTTGGTGTATGTGTTGATTAGGTCAATGCCTTGATGGAGTTCGAAGATGAGCATTTTCCGCTTAGGGTAAGCAGAGATAAGCAATTTGATTGGTTGATGCTTTGGGACACGATAACTTTTAATTGAGCTACAATGTTCAAACTTGGTGTATGTGTTTATTAGGTCAATGCCTTGATGGAGTTCGAAGATGAGCATTTTCCGCTTAGGGTAAGCAGCGATAAGCAATTTGATTGGTTGATACTTTGGGGCACGATAACTCTCTTCCTAATTGAGCTAGAATGTTCAAACTTGGTGTATGTGTTGATTAGGTCAATGCCTTGATGGAGTTCGAAGATGAGCATTTTCCGCTTAGGGTAAGCAGAGATAAGCAATTTGATTGGTTGATGCTTTGGGACACGATAACTTTAGTTCTAATTAAGTGAGATTGATGAAACTTGGTGTATAGATTTATTATATGAATACCTTAACTAAGTTCGATAATGAACATTTTTTGCTGAGGGTAAGCAGAGTGATAAGCAATTTGATTGGTAGAAACTTTGGAACACAATAACTCTCCTTCTAATTGAGGTAGAATGTTCAAACTTGGCATAGGTGTCTATTAGGTGAATGTTTAAACTTGATGTATATGTAGATGTTCATTAGGTGAATGTCTTGACTGAGTTCAATAATTAACATTTCGAGCTGAAGCTAAGCAGAGCTAATCGATTTCATTTGTCGATGGTTTGGGACAAGATAATCTTGATTCTATCTGATAGAGAGTGATGAAACTTAGTGAAAAAAATAAATGTGCGATTAATTAATATGTGTCATCTATTTATTTTGCAATTTCGGCGGGGGACATCAGCCTCACTGTTGGCTTGTTTGTTCAGATATGGCTTAGGTACAACCTTTTGACATTATGTGGGTGGTTCGAATTGAAATGAGTCCACACAACCGATAAGATCTACAGCCTACAGGGTTATCGAGATCACGCTTTTTACTGAAGATGCATGAAAGGGGCCTACCACACCGCCATCCCAACATCTTCCGATCTGTTGAAGTCATCAAGCTATTGGAACATTCAAACTTCGTCTACACTAGGCTTGAAAAAGCCGGCTTTTTAAAAACCCGGTTTTTTCAAAACCCGGCTTTTTCAAGTGTAGCGTCTACACTGACTGAACGGAAAAAGACGATGAACACCGACCTTCGTTATTTGTGGAACTTCCGGTTTATTTATTACGCCATCGGCTTCAGTCAATTTTGCAGAGATAATAATATAATAATAATGATTACTTTGGTTACTTTGGTGCAATTATATATCCAGCTTATGGAATGTAGCAGATCGCTGACAGACTTACGGAAGAGGGCGAGAAAACGACGTGCAAGACGATTGCGATTGTATATCCGTCGAAGACACTTTCGACTAACATCCTTCATGGCTATGATCGAGAGTTTACGCAATGCCAATGTTATGAATGTACGGAAGCTCGGGACGAATGACATCCGGGTACTTGATAAATCCCGGATAATTTACCGTCTACACACATAAAATTGCCGGTTTTTTGAAAAAGCCGGCTTTTTGATTTTGAAAAATCCCTCAATAATTGCCGGATTTTAAAAAGCCGGCTTTTACGATTGAGAAATTGAAAAAGCCGGCTTTTAGGAAAAAACCGGGATTTAAAAGGCTAGTGTAGACGGTGAATGCTGCTAGTATAGACGTAGCTTCAGACAGAGCCAACTTAGCTAGAGCCCAACTTAATTTTGGAGCTGCTCCTCCAAGACGAAAGAGTCTAGAGAAATTGCGAGACGGGACCACAAGAATGTACAAGTATATGTAAAGAGTGAATAGTCAAAGTGTTGATTTAATATGTTGTTTTAAGGTGTCTAAGGTATGGGAGGATATCTATACACACTATTGGTGAGTCCTGTATCTGTTTTCGTATCTAAGACATCTTAAGCACCGGTTATTATCCTTTTCAATGAACTTAATCAGTGACGGATCATGGCGAGGGCAACAGAGGCAAATGCCTAGGACCAGGGCCCCGACGATTTGGTGACAACAAAAATATTCTTTTTATATTTTGTAGAAAAAACCCCAATTAAGACCCATTTCCCTAAAATCGCGAAACAAAGTGACCTTTTTTTCGATGAGTTTTGAAATGATTAGGTAGTTGGACCCCAGGTAAGAAACAAAATTGATATCAACGATTCCACGTTGGGTGGGTTGGCAGCGGGACGTTGATATCAGAAATATTTCCATAACCCGAAACACGAAATATTATTCTGGTTGACAGGTAGCGGCCTTGTTAATTGTCCGTCGGGCCCCAGTTTTTCACTTAACCAACTCGCGAACCGGTGTCATCGGGCCCGGACTGGCCCTTGTGATAGTGTGCCAATGCCACATAACCGAGTATATTCCTGAAGAAACAAATTCTGCACTATTCTGAAATATGATCTGCAACAACTTCATCCAGATTACTAATCTAGATCGACACTACTGCTTAGAACTAAGTATATGACTTCCAGGAGTGGACCCCTCCCCCTCCCCCCGGAGCCTCAATCCCGGGTAGAGACACCCCCCCCCTTCCCGGCGGACCCCACCAGGACCCCACCATAATAGGGCGACATCACGATACGTTACTGAACTCAATTCTGTTATTCTCGTTATTTAGATGCCAAAGACGGGCGTCTGGATAATCACTTTTATCAAGAATAAAGAAAGTATCATTAACCTTCAAAACCAATCTTTCGACTGAACAGGTGATCTTGACATGGCCATCTCTTTAAGGTTTGTCAAATAAATCTCGGTAAGAATAGGAATAGGAGAATAGTACATAAACAAAATACTAATCAACCTGACGTTAACAAATAAACAAAGATGTATTCTTTAAAAAAATATAAAATTCATTATTCAACCCATGAAAATGTGTCCCTTTAAGAAATCCTTAACTATCATCTAAATTGTACACATGTTTTATACTGTACATGTATATTGAAATGTTTGTGTTTATATTATGATTGTCAGTTGCAAATCTGTTAAAGATTCATTCTAAGGAAGCGATTTTATTTAAGCTGGTAAAGCTTGTTACCGTATCCTATATTTATTATATAAAATCTGTAAATTTAATGAATAAAATATTGTTTAAAGGGGCATTAGGGAAGATTAGACAAAGAGTCGACAGTCCTGGCTATAATAGTTAAAAAATAGATAATGAAAACAGAATATGCTTCACTCTGAACCGAGATATTAGCAATTCAATTTTAGGCTATAGCCTCGAACGTCATTACTAACTTTAGTGCGATAGTAAAGCATGTCTCGATTATCCATTTTGACGTTAAATTACCCACCACAAAAGGTATTCAAATCCACTAAATATCGCAGGCCAACGATGGCATCGTTCTATTTAAGGTATGATATGGCCCGACATACATGTACATGTACGAATAATCGCCATCTTACAAAATGCGAATGCAGTTTATCTAAAAGGGGCTCCGGTAAAATTGAAGGAATTATTTGACCCGATATTAACCAAAGCCATTTTTTTTTCAAATTATGGGATAACGTAAATCAAGAAACAATACGAGTTTACCTTATTACAAAAACATTGGTGAACAAATCAAATTTTTAAAATCATAATAGTCCGGCAGCAGGTGGATAAACCTGAAGATATAGTCCACCAAATGTTTTTTGATGGATTATGTATCTTGAGTATGTGTAGATTGAGAATCTGAATGATGCCACCCTGGCACCCTTAAGGAAATTTAAATATTCAAGATGTCCGCCATAAGACATTTTCTGGTTATTTAGTGGAGTAAAATTTGTGACACATTCTCTCGGACCTCGGTTTGAAGGTGGTTCTATAAGAATTCGACCCGCTGAATCCAATGATGGCTAATTCCGCTAGGGGACCAAATTCAAAATCAAGGCTCATTTTGGAGGGAAATTAATATAAAGTTCCATACAAAGGTGTGTAATATATTGTAATATATTGAAATATATTGAAATATAGGTTTTCCGTGGATTATATATCTTCAATATGTGTAGTTTCAGAATCAGGATGATGCCACCCTGGCACCCTTGGGGAAATTTAAGTATTCAAGATGGACGCCATGGGGCATTTTCTGGTTATTTATTTGAGTAAAATTCGTGACAGATGCTCTCGGACCTCGGTTTGAAGGTGGTTTCTACAGGAATTCGACCCGCTCAATCCAATGAACTTGGGTATTCCTCCAAATGTGACGACTTGAAAGTAGGGGGGGGGGCTCATTTTGGCGGGAAACTCATAACGTTCCATAAAAGGTTGTGCAATATATTGAAGTACGGGTTTTCGGTGTCAATTACTTGCGATACAAACATAAAAACAATAAAACATGTATTTATGTTTATATCCGAAGTAATTGACACCTATATTTCAATATATTACACACCTTTTTACGGAACATTATAAGTTTCCCGCCAATATTTCCATGTCTGGGCTTAATGGGGTTTGACTGCCGGACTAAAACGATAATCAACAAACAATACTATTCTTCTCTATTATAAAAATATCGGTGAACTAACCTCGGCAGTGATCGGTTAACCAAGCTAAGTTGATTATTGTCATATTGGGTAAATAAAAGAATTATAAACTATATCAATGAGTAAAACGTATTTATTCCACACAATTAAAGTGTATACTAGTCAAGTACGGTATTACTATTAGTTGTGGACGACATAACCAATACCTTGTGGACGACTTAACTAGTGGTTGTGGACGACTTATCTTAGCCTACTTCGTTGAGAATTCGTCCTTCAATTCCTTTATTATCTTCTAATCCGTCACGTCGGACCATGAAGTGACGGCTTCCAGGTAAATCACATTCAAAGCACGTTTCGTTAGGTTCAAATTCAAGATTTAATTCCGTGCGATTACAATCTCCCGTAATCACGTCATCTATGGCTTAGATTACCCAGTCTCTCTAAATAAACGCAATTATTAACTGTCTAATATATGGACTTATACTTTAAATTAATACGGTACATCACATAAATATTTAGGATCACAAACAGTTGACGTTATGTTACGGGGAAGGACTTGTGATTTGTACTCGTATCTTCCATGGAAACTTGACTGAATTTGACCAATGTTAACGTCCACATATTACCTTGGCCATCATGCTGTTACACTTTTAGGGCTTTATGTCAGGTTCTTGGTGACAACACTAGTTTAACATCATATGATACTTTTATTGTTCTTCAAACATATCATGTACAAAACTTAAGACTCCGTAATTAGCTTGTGTTCAGGGAGCCATGGTCCTAGCTTGGCTTGACACCCTTGCGTGCCAACTCTCAACTAACTTACATGGCCCTTATCCGATCTTAACCCAGACGCTGTCGCCTTCTCTTTGAACTACATGTATCTTCTTTTTATTCCTGCTTATAAACCCTTTTAAGACAAAGGATGACGGAAGGGATTATGCAGCTGGCTATATCGCATCATATACCAGATTAAACGTTCATTACAGATGGCTTTACAAGACATTAGATAATCGGGCCAGCTATAAGATTATATTATGGTAAAACCAATGAGTGCGATCTGGACAACCATGGATATCAATAGCCGACATAAAGATGTTTTAATGAAGATGGCACGATAACTATGAATAACATCCGCCATTATGTAACAATGTTTTCCTGAATTGAACTCAATAGAGCACCTCTGGGATCATTTTGATAGGCAACTGAGGCAACGGACACCTCATCACGCAATCTTTATTGCAAAGGATTCACAGTGACGTCACGAGGAGACGCGTTTTGGCATGTATCGATGCACACGGCGGCCATACACGCTATTAATGTCATGTTTTGTCAAATGATCAGGCCGTATTTGGACTTATTTGAGGGCTTCTCCTTGACTCGTGTGTGTAATTATTTGTCTAACATTTTGTTAAGTGGGACTCCTGTATCTGTCTCCGCAGTTGCATTTAACATGGTATACACAGTCTTTAGGTTGATGGGGGATGGATGGGTTTGGTTTTTCATTTGCTTTGAGGATGTCATTGGTGCTCATCCCTTTGAGAAAAGTTACTCATATCCCCAACTATATTCCCGTAGTTGTCTCCTAATTAGGTATGATACCTCGCCGTTAAATGGAATGGATATACGTATTTGGAGGCGGTGAGGGTTTTAAATCTTTATTAATTGTTTTGACTGCTTCTTGTGGTTACCAATTATGCTCGACGAATACTTCTTGGCGGGGGGGGGGGGATTCAACAGCATTTTATTCTAGCAGTTGTTGTAGGGGGTCAAAATACGGATAGATTAACCATACAAGGGTTCAGGTTTACAAAACAGTTTATTAACAAGTATCCAGTAAAACCCCTGAAATTATACAATTATAATATAAATAACATGTATAACTAATCAAACATATAAAATCAATACATTCATATTCATTAAAATAATATATTACATATTAATAATAACATCTAAATACTATTTTAAATCTTATAATACATTTAGTTCATAATACGTGAATATGTTGAAGGGGAAACTACCTCCTGTTAACCTTAATAATAATAATAAATTCTTACCCAAGAAGGGTTTTTTAATGAACCAGTCAGAGACTCTGGGACAGGATAAAGTACTTTATGCTCTCTCTTTAAATTGCAAGTTTCAAATCTTTGGATGATTACAAATACAAATACTAGCACAAACACACCATTGATGAAAGAAAACAACTGATATACTAATAATTAACTTTAAATATAAAACGTATATCCAACCCCAACCCACAAGATTCTATCTGAAAAGTGACCAACGTGATGTTACAAACAAACCCAAGAAAGCTTCGGGTCAAAGGTGAAATGAAACACCAGAGAGCAGAGTCAACTTGAACTCACTGGATACCTATATAAGAGGAGTGTACAGAACAGGAGAGCTTAAAGATGCAGTGGTGTGTTACATATTACTTAAGATTAAATTGTGACAAAATTAAAACACCCATAAATTAAACAAAACCACTCTACCACGCAGTTACAAAACTAATATACTATATACAAGACGTCCTCGTATATGCATTGCAAACTTGACTATGTCGATGGTATTCAACCTAGACCCAATTCATACATAAGTAATTCATTATGATGGTACAAAAAAAAATACATGGGACCAGGGGATTATCTAACTTGACTATAGTATATGAGCACATTTCAACTAGGTATCAACGGGGAGTTAATCAAAAGCACTGACAATACCAACCTGCTGATTAAAACACATATCCTACTAAGTTTCGTTTTTTATAGTTGTAAATTTTTTACTTGTCTTTATTACTCCATATGGACATAGCTCACCAAATATTCCTACGCTATCACCCACGAATGAAGGACGAAAGTTATTTTAAGTTTTTCTCTCCCTTTTCCCCTCTTTTGAATGTCTTTTTTTGTTGACTTTTGAAAAGGGTTTGAAAATGACTAAATCTATTTGTTAAGGCCGGCTCAACTTTTGTCAAGGTCATGGAGATGTAACCAGGCCCGTAGCCAGCGGGGGGGGGGGGGCACACCCTGGACAGTCTACAGTAGGTATTTTAGAGCTATGGTCGCCAAATTTTTTTTCGGGGTGGGGTGGGGACATTTTTTCAGGGGGGCATTGCCCCCCCTACCCGCTGGCTACGGAACTAAGGTTAGAGCACGTGCTTGTTGGCGAGATTGTAGGTTAGGTTTCTTAGGTTGAAATGTTGGGCGGAAGAATTGCATGTTTACTGGTCTTTACTTCCAGTTTATATATCTCAAGTTTTCCATGGCGAACCTCATACGTGCTTTTGAGCAAGAGATTGTCACATGTTGCTCCATCTGTGGTAGAAAGCGTAGTCTACCCAACGAAAATTTGGGAAAAAGTTAAAGCCGGTCTTAGAGACCAGAATTAACATTAAAGTCAATGGGGAAATCATTGTTGATCTGTGGCCATAGTGGATGCCATCGAAAGTATAAAAGGAACAAAATATAGATGGGTATTTTAATCAGATTGTGACAATACGGGCACAGTTTATACTATGATTAATATAATGTTGTATCCACTATCTAAAGATTCTGCATTGTAATTATTTATACACGTCACTATATATCTCCACCTCACAGCTATAAACTACAGCTGCTTTAATATTATGTTATATTAGGCACCATAGTGGAGTGCCCTCTGTTATGTGTCCCCCGCCACACCAAAAATCTCAAACGCCGCCCCCTTTACAAAGGAGGCGACTCGGTAGTAACTTGTGCTAGGTCACTTAACCTAGTTTTAATAACTTGTAAATAATACAAAAAAATAAGTTCACTATAACATGATGTGTAGCCCAGTGACCCGTTACAACTCCTTACATAAATATCATACTGGTAATATTGAATAAACACTCGTTCTATACTAGCTGTATTCTATGTACATATACGTGAAATAAGATAGGTGAATGTAGAAAATAAGACCAAGGACACGATATATGGGTTGATCGTGTGTTTCACCTGCATTAAATGAAGTAGGTTGCGTACTTAGTCTGTCCAGATTCCAGCATTGAACATCAGGTGTTAAAAATGAGAGCTGGACCACTTTTACTTTTGCTAATTTGTGGCCTTTTCTGTAAGGAAATAACCGCTAAATCTAAGTTAAAATGGTGGCAGACGTCAATTATTTATCAGATATATCCGCGTTCTTTTAAAGATTCAGATGGAGATGGTGTGGGTGATTTGAAAGGTAATTATATACTAATAATGCTAACTCCAACCATACCCATCAAACATTATATCTTATATTAGACTATCTTATGTCACTTCTAGTGTATATCTGAATTTGACGTACATGTGTAGGCCTATATATGAAACACTGACGCCCAGTATTATATTATAGTACTCAGGTTTCTCGCGTAATTACGGAAGCTCTGGGGGAATATTTCTGAATTGAAATGAAATAGGATTGTTTCAAGTACATGCCAACGTGTACGCGGGACCTCGGTGTTTCATCCCATCTCAAAGAATTTATACTGTATCTTACCAGTCCCTCCGCCATGCATCACTGACAGGAGGAAACCACGCTGGAAAATGAATATGTTATACAATTAAATCCCCATATAAGGAACGGTGTGCTATATTTGTAACAAACCAGAAGTTGTGTTCCGTATAACTAGTTGATGTGTATTTATTGTGCTGGTCGCTAAATGCCTCTCAAGGATTATACCTATACAGGGGCGGGTCCAAGAATTTTTGCAGGAGGGGGTTTGCCAGGTTCCCGAGAAAATAGAGACTTTTGGCAAGCGTAAATTTTTGGTCCGTATCGTGTATCCGTATGAATTTTGCGTGTGACGTCATCAATGTGTGTGTATTTCTCATACGTGATGCGGCACACGGATACGGCAGCACGTATCGGACAGCTTTCATACGGAAAAGGTCCGTATAACATTGTCGACTTTTTTGCTACTTTTAGACGCTGAAATGTTGTATCATAGCGTTTTTATTAATCTTTGTGTATTCTAGAACACGAAGGTGTGATTTTAACCACGATGGTTAGGGAGGCGGCCGAACCTTGCAAATCAGAAAATGATTTCATTCTGTGGTAAAGGGGTATAAACTTCCTGAAATGATATATTAGTTAAACAAAAAATTACAGTCGAGTCGAAGTCGAAGATTTTTAATAAGATTCGACATTAATTTTTTTTAAATAGCTCAGCGACTGTCGAGCGACTTCACTCCCTCTGGGAAATTGTAGGCTAGGCACTTGACTAGTACTGATAGTGATCTTGGTAGATATCTGCCATCATGCTGTAATAGAACTAAGCTCAGCTCATCGACACATACGTACGCGACGCAAAAATCTGCCAAAACTCTAAAACTACTTTGACGTATGGGAAACTTCCGCTTGCCAAAAGTCTCTAATGTATCCCCCCCCCCCCACCTCCCGCATGGCCTCTATCGTCATTTTGACGTATATACATACACATTGAGCTTTTTAAACATAATTCAATTATGAATTAATACAATGACATTGTGATTCAATTTCATGGATGCAAAGCATTAATTGTGATATCACATAATGTTTATATCATTATCTCGTGCTTTGAGTGCCCATCCTGTCGCACATCTGACGATAAAGGATAAAGCACACGGCCGAGAAACTTTTCTCATAAAAAAGTGTTGTTTTACAAAATTTTTTTATGTAGCTGAGCATCGACCCCCCCCCCCCCCTGAATCCACCCCTGCTATAGAACTGTTATATATGTGATATATTTCATATAAATCATCAATAAATCAGGTTTAGAGTCAGTTATTTTGGATAACTATTTCAGGTATCATATCTAAAATAGACCACTTTGTATATATTGGTGTGAAAGCTATTTGGCTGAGCCCCTTTTATCCATCACCAATGAAAGATTTTGGGTATGATATATCTAATCATACTGATGTTGATCCTGTATTTGGCACATTAGATGATTTCCGGAATTTATTAACAGAATGTCACAAGAAAGGTAGTGTAGTATTTACATGTATATATATATATATATAACTAATATATGATGACAAAATGATGACGATATGAAATAATATGTCAACTATCGTTGCTATAACCACCGCATTAAGTATAATGTTCTATTTTCTGGGGGGGGGGGGGGGATTGGATGGCTAACATCCTACTTTTCTGCACCAACAGGGATAATGAACACGGTCATACTCCATACAGTGTACTATGAGTGACATTTTGTCTGGCTGATCCTTTAATCCGCCCCTGCCCCCCCCCCCCCATTACTTTCCTGTCTTTTTCAATCACAATCACTAATTAACACGTCCATAATGGCAAGCGTCTTTGAATTGGAATAACACGGATGTTGATACATCTGTCGCACAAATAAAAGTGATGCTGGTAACCTATTCAGTCACCTAAATGGAGACTCATTTCATATATATTTAACGGTTATACCATTGAGATAAATGAAAACTTATATAAATTATAACATATTATATACCATAGATATAAAGGTTATCATAGACTTTGTTCCAAACCACACAAGTGACCTCCATCCATGGTTCCGTGCCAGTATCCGCAATGAAGAACCGTATAAAGATTTCTATGTCTGGACAGATGGTATAGAGGGGCCCGATGGTACAAGAATCAAACCTAACAACTGGGTCAGTGATGACAGTTTTAACTCGATCGTAACACTCAACATGTCCATTAATTTGAAATAATTACATGTAATTTGCTTTTGCCTTTTTTACACATAAACTGAAATCTATGACAGAGCTTAATGCATATTTTCTTGTATTTTATTTTACTAACTTCTCGGTGAACTATCATAATGATTTTGAGTTAATCATATTTTATTTCAAGCTGAGTGTGTTTGGTGGTGAGGTATGGAAATGGAATGAACAACGACAACAGTTTTATTATCATGCGTTTTTAGAAAGTCAACCTGATCTCAACTATAGAAATCCTAAAGTTATAGAAGAAATGAATGTAAGTTATTCCTGCTGCTATTTCTTTGACTTAATTGAAGATCAAGTTTGTGACGTTAATTGCAGATGACATAATATAGTGGATATAATGATAACGATGACTATGGATTTCACTTCTTTTTTGTAACAGTGTATGAACAAACATGATATCTCATACATTATAAATCTAATAACTAGTATGGATTTCACATCTTTTTTGTAACAGTGTATGAACAAACATGATATCTCATACATTATAAATCTAATAACTAGTAGGCTACAACATGCAGGAACATAACATATATTATACATATCGAGTTATGATCATAATGGCTAGCGTTTTAATTTGCGTCGGCTTCCATCATCGCTTTCCACCCTTCGACTGTCTTTCTAGTGTTGTCAATAAGAAAATGTATTATGCTTTGGAATAACCCTGTCGAAAGTAAAAGTGTCAACATTCCAACATCAAGTTTCTGCCTTTTCCAAATACACCATTGAAAGCTTTATCAACAAACATATCCAAATTATACTTGAGATCCGAATCTTGAAGCGTAGTATATCAAGTAGAAAAATTAAAATTTTAGCAATATGTTTTTGATTATTTTTTTTTTCTAAAGTGTCCATAATGTTTTTCTTTATCAATAATAAACAAAATATTAATGCCAGTGTAAATGAGAAATGTTCTGCACCAAAATAGCATGCTGGGTTGGGCATTATTTAAGACCCCTAATTATTGTCTTACCCAAAGGTTTGGTTTGGCAATTACAAGAGGATATGATGTATCGGAATTTTACCAGGTCTTTATGAAATTTTGGCATGGAGTAAATGAGGGGTAGTGCATCTATTTTACCTTCAATCTTTTTCCTTTGAAATTATATTGATTCTGCAAAATTTTAAGTTTTGTCAATTTATAAGTGTCAAGTGTCATTTTGAGTACTAATGAGCCATATATTAACTTTTTTCCTCCGACAAATTAAATTCTAAAATATTGTTTGTATGTATTAGAAAAATAAATAAAGGCGTTTGAAGTACATGTATTTGTAGGTAAAAATTATTTCCTATTTAGTGTTGGGGGGGTGGATGGCCGAATGGTTAGTTATTACACAATATTACACAATTTTAAACTCTTAAAACCCTTTATTTGGTTTAAAAATCAAATGGAATACTTTTTAATTTGGCTATTGGTTCCATTACTCATATAGTTCATAACATTATAATTATATCGCCAAATATCAAAAAGGAGGATATTCCCCCGCAAAATTCTTTTTGAAAAAAAAATTAAGCGCCAAACGTTCTAGGCACGAATGCGCTACCCGATGAGATAACGAGCCATTTATAAGCGGTTAATTTAAAAATTAGTATTTAACGAGCATTAACAATATATAATAAACATACATTTTAATCTATAATATTATTTAACAATTTTAGAAGATATTGATATCTAATTGATATCACACTAATATCGCACTAATTGTACTGGCAAACACACCTGCCCATACCATTGTTTGTTTAATGAATATTGCTCTATAGAATATTAAAACTAGATCAGATCAATGCCCTGGTCGTGCCATCTTCTTACAGTGTTAATAATCAATGAATTAATCGCTGTGCTATTGCTCCTTGAAAGACACTTATTGTCCGGGACTATACTGGATAATTGAATACATAAACTGCCGGGAAATAGAAAGTTTTATCTATACTATAATGTTGCAATAAGTTTAGACATAGAAAACATTTGACAAAATATAATCTGTGTACACCCTCGCAGTTACTCAACGCACGATATGCTGAATTTCGTGAAGTCTCGAAAAATCGTAAAACCAGGATTGTGGGTATTTTCTCGAGATGCACGTGTATGACTATTGCATAAATACCAGGGGGTCAAAGTGATGATTCGGAATGAAAAACAAACTCTACAGCGACGCCCAGATTAATACTGGGAGAACGAGAGAGGGCTGTTGGTATGGCACAGATGGGGACTTCACAACGGCAAATTGCAAGAACGTTCCACTGCAGTCTAATCTCTTCCGGCGCTTTCAACAGACAGGCCGAACTCAAGACCGACCAAGATCCGGAAGTTCAAGGTTCACAACTGTAGACTGCTAAATCCGGACAATTCGCCCCCGGAACAGGTTCGTGACTGCGACAGGAACGGCTGCCTCAGCATTGGAACACGTCATCAGCATACACACCGTTCCCCGATGGCTCCACATTGTTGGTATAAGAGCCTACATACCATCTGTCACCGTAGGTTACAATGGGCAAGAACTGTAGGTCAGTGGCAGTGACGTGTTTGGCAACGTGTGCTCTTCACAGATGAATGTGGCTTCCACCTGTTCAGAAATGATGACCGGGGTCGTGTTTATCGCCGTAGAGAGTGGGAAGGGGGTGGCACCGACTGCCACCAAGATGTTCATCCTTATGGTGGTGGCGGAGTTATGACCGGGATCGTGTTAATCGCCGTAGTGTGTGTGTGGGGGGGGGGGGGGGCACCGAACTAGTGTAGGCGAGTTATGATATGGGGATGGATTTGCGACCAGCAGAGAACAAGGATTGCCATCATCCGTGGGATCCGGAATGGCCAATGACACACAGATGAATTTCAGCCACCATGGTTGCCATTTTGCAGCATGACAATGCCCGACCACATACCATCAGACTGGTTCGTAATTATTTGAACAATGTTAACGTCAACACATTACCTTGGCCATCATGTTCTCTTGACATGAACCCAATAGAGCACCTCTGGGATCATCTTCATCGGCAACTGAGGCAACGGCAACTCATCCCGCAAACCGACATCAACTTAAGCAAGATTTATTGCAAAAATGGCAAAGGATTGCCCGGTCTAAGAGTTCTCCGCGTAAATCAAAAGACACTCTCTACTACCCTCAAGATGATATCGGCGGGAGGAGTCAAAGAAGGAAATTTCAGAAAATTCAGCCATAAAATTCGGCGCATCATCAGCCCCTCCAAAAAAATCCATAGCCCCACCAAATTTTACGACCTGGCTACGGGCCCGATTCCTACTGACGTCATAAGACGACTGACAACATCCATGAGGAGACGCGTTTTGGCATGTATCGATGTCCACGGAGGCCACGTGCGCTATTAAGTCGTTTCTTGTCAAATGATCATACTGCATAAGGACTTATTCGAGGGCTTCTCATTGTGTGTAATTATTAATCTAGACCCCATTGATCTTTAACACTGCTGTTAATGTTTAGATTCAGAAACTTATTCCTCTCAATAAAATATTCATCGTTTAAAACAAAACTGTCTGTTTTATAGAACATGTACACGGAGTGTCAACTTTCTTTTGCCCGGTAGTTTAGAATGGATGGAGATATTAAAAACAAGCAGATTGTGGAAAAATCTCTCATTTTGGATCTTATAAAAGGAAATGGTAAGAGTAAGTTGTCATAAGTATTGACAAAGGCACATTGATAGATTTTTGTACACCACTATGACTTTCTATTGCAGAACGTCATACGATTTTGGAGTGAGATGGGTGTCGATGGGATTAGAGTAGACGCCATTACAAATCTGTATGAAGTAGCAGATGTGAGTTTAAACGAACCGTTAAGCGGGAAACCTGGCGTTCCGGAGGTAATTTTCATTTTAATAGCAAAGTTTCATTGAAATGGACTAGAGATAAAAAGTGAGTGGAGTAGCAAAGGTTATCAGTGGCGGGGGACAAAGGCCGCTCTGACGCTCCCACACGATCTATGTTATTACATTTTGTCAAATTACATAATGAAGAAAGAACAAAAAAGAGCAAAAATAAAGAGTCAAAACGCAATACATGCTAGAGTTTTTAAAGGATTTTTCTCAAACATTTGGAGTTATTGCCCTCGCCATTCTGACATCGCGATCTTTCGTCAACTCTATAGATGCTAAAAGATTTTTTACGGAACTTTTTCAAACTTTTTATGAAGCATTGACATCTTAAATGGGTGTTTCCAATCGAGTTTGGAGTGACTGCCCTTGCCATTCTGACATCGCTCTGGGGTTAGTCCCTTTGTCCCTATCAATATTGAGCGCTGTGCGATGTTCTGTTTTGGCGTTACCCCCCGCCATAGCCCCACACCCTTCTCAGTCTTTAACATATAGTTTTCATATTTGGGGTGAAACATCGGGGTCATTTCAGGACGAACCCTGTCGATTTCCATAGTTCTGCATTCAAGAGTTACCCCCCTCCTAGGCCCATCGATTGAAAACCTTGTTAACCCGATCGAGGCTACAGTTTTTAAAAGGATTCCTATCAAATTCAATGTAAAGCATTGTGGTATCAAGGAGATCCCTATCGATATTTGCCATTGTGTGACGCCATGTTTCGGAGTTACCTCCTCCTTTCCAAATTCCATGTTACAGTTTTTAATGGATTTTTAAAAAAAAAATTATCAACATCCAAGTTTACCTTTCAGATAAGCTGTTGTCTATGGCTATAATTTTTCGAGACAAAGCTATTGTCTGAGCGTTATTCCACACCAGTTCTGTCCTTTGTGGGTCCCATATTTTGTCACAAAATGTTCTTAAATTGAAAGATGGAAAACAGTACATAATCATTATTGACTCCAAAACAAAACAAAAAACAAAAAAAATACCCAAAGTTAATGACATCAGTTCAATTTCAGTAGACAGTTGTCTAATGTCGCAATCAAAACCAGAACGTAATATTGACGCAATGTTTAATTCTAGCATGTATATGGGAGACCTATCAAAAAAGTTACTATTATCATTTGCGTAATATTGATAAAATTAGAAAGTCCATTTCTCCAGATCGTTAACCAGTTCGTTTGTAACTCCAGAGGCTTGATAACTGTTTTTCCTACTAGCAGGGTTTCTCAATAAACCCTCAGATAAATCCATCGTCATGATTAATTCCTGGAATACAGTGCTCGCCGCATATCCCATCTGTCTGTCGTTTCATGTCTCAATAGCATACAGAATAGAATACAAAATAATGCTACTTGTCTTTAAATGTTTGATGACTTTAGGCCCACTTTATCGTTCTGCGATACAGAGTACTTATAATTTATCATCATATCCATGTAATTTTATCTGAAAAAAAAACAAATTTTTATTTATATTTTTTTGTATCCAGTATCTCTTTGTTATCTCGTTTTATTATGCCATTGCAATTTTGTCTTGCCCTATAATATGTCTTTCTACATCGCATGAGCACATTCATGTGATTGTTGTACCTTATAGAATCGTGTACTAATACTAATAAATAATTATAATGTAACGTCAATAAATGACCCATTTAAGATGTCATTAAGAAAATCCCTCTACTCGATGATCGACGTTTTGCTCCCTCGGCCAAGTCTATGAAAAATTGTATAATTAATGAGATCTATTTCTGTATTTATTAAGCTGTATTTACAGATAATATATCATTATGATATATATTATTTATTTTCATAGTTTCAATATGATATATATTTACAGATAGTATCATTATGATATATATTATTCATTTTCATAGTTTCAATATAATATATATTTACAGATAGTATCATTATGATATATATTATTTATTTTCATAGTTTCAATATGATATATATTTACAGATAGTATCATTATGATATATATTATTCATTTTCATAGTTTCAATATAATATATATTTACAGATAGTATCATTATGATATATATTATTTATCTTCATAGTTTCAATATGAATATTTAAATCATATCTACTCATCGAATTTGCCTGAGATTGAAGGTGCTATTCGTGGATGGAGGAATGCAATGAATGAATTTGCAAATGAAGATGAGTCAAGGTACTTTTATTTTAAATATTCATTATCAATCGATGTAATATTTTCTTCTGGAATTTTGAAGTAACATTTTTATGGTGTAGGAAATATAGTTTTTTTTTGTCGTTCTTAAAATCATACATTTATAACTAGATGTAAAGTTTATTTGTAGGTTTATGGTTGTTGAATTATATGATACACCAGATAATCGTAATGCTTATCTGGGATATGGTTGTGATCTACCCTTTAACTTTGATCTCGTTGATCCTGGTATAACTGCTGATTGTGGAGGTCGATGTATGAGAGACTTGGTTGATATTGAGTATTCGTCACTGCCTAAAAATTCTTGGCCAAATTTTGTGGTACGTAAATACAAAATAAAAATGTTATGCTAACGTATTGTCTTACTATTCCGCACCAACCCGTATAATGAAGATGAACATACGTCATGCATTATGCTACTGGTGGTTAAATTTTGTCCAAACAGCGACGTATACGGCCTACTCCCATTACAGTATTATTTAGTTTTTGTCAATATCTATTTTAGTGAGAGAATTAAATATTTATAGATGCTTCGTTTCAGCTTAAATATGTTAAAACTTTAGCCTCAAATCTTATTTGAAATAAAGGTTTAGAGCCTGTTATCAATAATTGCTGACATTTGTCTGAAATGGAGATAACTATTTTTTTCTACCGTATATGGATTTTCAAAATTCCCTGCCCATCCATGTCATTTATGCTATTCTTTACGTCAGATGTTTTCGCCAATATTTAATTTTATGCCAACTTCAGAATTGTTAGTAAAACTATAGCATTTACTTGCCAATTATCACGATTTTGGGGTAATGCATAAGGGACATGAGTTGATGAACTTTATTGAATTTCAACATCGTAAATTTTGTTTGAAAAGATTTACGAAATATTAAACAGTCCATATACTATATACACATGTTATCCCCCATTTGCCGAAAATATTTTGAATGCGATAGAGACTACAATTTTAAAATTTGGTGTGAAGCATCAGGGTCATGACAGGATGAAACCCATCGACATTCAACGATTTGCGAGTTTCCATTCCGGAGTTATCCCTTCTTTGCTGAAAAACTGGTGGAAAGTATTGGGGTCATGAAAAAATGAAATCTATCCATATTGAGTGTGTAGGGTCTCCTGTCCAACCCCGTGGGTTTTCTCCGGGTCCTCCCCCCCCCCTGCTAAAGACCCCTACGCGCAAGCGAATTATTGAAATAAATTGAACCATGTGTTAATCCCGAAATGACCTAGTTTGTGTCGAGTGGACGTTAAATCCCATCCCTATCGATATTCAGCGTTAAGAGTTATGCCCTCTTTCACAAAATAGTTTGATTTCTATCGAGCATCAGCGTTCTGATACTTTCTGTTTCGGAGTTATGCCCCATTAATCGAAATCACTGTGAACGCGATAGAGGATATAAGTTTTTATTTGTTTTTTTCTTTCAAATTAGGTGTGGAGGATTGAGGTAATGAGAAGAATTATTATACCCCCTTTTTCGAAAACTAGTGAACACATTAGTGTCACGAGTGGACGAGCCCTATCGATGTTCATTGTTCTGCTATCTTCTGTTTCCGTGTTAACCCCATTTCCCGAAAATCGAGGCTATAGTTTTTAAGGGATTTTTTCAAGCTTGTGAACACGATAGTGATCAGATTTCTTGAAGGCATACTTTCTTATCAAATTTGGACAACATCCAAGTTTTTGTTTCAGATAACTGCTTTCGAGACATAGCTGCTGTGTGGGCGTATTCTCGTGTCTATCTTGATTAAATATACTTTAATAACATATTCTAGCTAAACAGGTAAACTTGTTAACTTGCAGGGCTAACTTCCGCTTTCACATCATGGTGCCGATGAATTCGACCTTAAAAGTTTTGTAAACACATTATAAGAAATATAAAAACCTAACAAAATGATTTCGAATTATTCTGACAAATATGCGATTCACTTGTTAACAAATCTTATTGTTACTACCCTATTCACTTTCTGGTCATAGAGAGAGAGAGAGGGGGGGGGGGAGAGAGAGAGAGATGAGGTTTAACGTCCACTCGACACAAACTAGGTCATTTCGGGACTATCTGGTCATAGAAATACAGATTGTGTATGGTCGACGGTTAATAGAAACTGCCTGGTGATCCCACATCTTTGTTTTATAGCTAGGTAATCATGATCGTAAACGTATAACAAAGAAAAGGGGACCAGGCGCAGCTAATGCCATGAATATGTTGCTACTGACCCTGAGAGGAACACCAACAACATATTACGGTGAAGAGATCGGTATGATAGAAGTTGATGTACCATTTGAAGACACCAAAGATCCTTGGGGAATAAATTACGGAAAGGTATGGAACTAATTTTATTTTCCAAAGTGAATATATAGCTTCAAGATTCTACTGCACAAATCAGTCAGACTCAAACTCAATCTAATTAAAATATAGATCTATATTTCGTTTCGTTTTTTATACTTTCGATGGCCTACACTACATGTAGTAAAGACAAGTAAAAACGAAATTTTGAACTATAAAAGACGAAACGAAATTGGATCTGTGTTTTAATCAGATTGGACTCAAACTGGAACATGAACATATAACCCCTGTTGTAATAAATTACAGTTATTACAATAGGGGTTTGTATTACAATAGTGGTTAAGATAAATGTTATTACACTGTATTTATTACAATAGCGGTTAGTATTACAATAGGGGCTACAACAATCAATCCGTTCATATCGGTATGCACAAAGAACCCTTGAAATATTGAAATTAAAAAAGAGTCGGCAATAACTCCATTTTCCACTACACATATGTAACCATAGAATTAAAAATGACCATGATATGTTTGTCTCAAAATGACCTTTTATTGTCCACTCATTAAAACCCATTCCATTCCAATCTTCTTTTTTTTTTACAAATGTCAGCGTTTAGAATATCAGCTGTAGTCAACAAAACATTCGACAGTGTACACATAATGTTTTGAAATTCAACCTGTACTGTTTATGGACAGCCAACATGGAGGGTAAAGGAAATCAGTAAAATCTATCTTCCACGTCAGATGTTATAAACACAATAGTTCTCCTTCTAATTGAGGTAGAATGTTCAAACTTGATGTAGGCGTTCATTAGGTGAATGCCTTGAACGAGTTCAATGATTAACATTTCCCACTAAAACTAAGCAGCGCCAAGCAATTTCATTGGTCGATGCTTTGGAACAAGATAACTGATGGAGAGTGATGAAACTTAGTGTATAGTTTCACTACCAGGTACTTCAAAACCTTCAGAGCATTTTATGCTTAGACTAAGTATAGATAATCAGTTTGATTGCTTAATACTTTTGAAAAAGATAAATGTACAATTAATCAATATGTGTCATCTATTTATTTTGGGATTTCAGCATGGGACGTCAGCCTCACTGTTGGCTGGTTCCAATTGTTTATGATTAGTTGTGCTTGATTTTTATCACCGAACTGCTTTAGTTCAGCGTGATAATGTAATTATGTTATCTATATGGATGAATTGGGGATTTATTTCTTTTTATTTTATTGTGTCTACTTTCATTTTGTACCTGGAAAAGGATTTTGTGCATCCAAATTACTAAACATCAGAAAATCAGGATAGATTTTAATGTTAAACTTTGGAAAGATCCGTCAAGCACAACTGGGAAAACCATCTAAAAAAAATAACTATACCATTTTTGTTTCAAACTGAAGGAACGTTATACAGAATTCACCAGAGATCCTTGTAGGACACCATTACAGTGGAGTGGGGATTACCAAAGTGGTTTTACTACCGCCGAGAAACCTTGGTTACCTATACATGCTAATTATAAAACTCTCAATGTTGAGGTTAGTATTGATAAGTTTAAAACTGCTCCCAAGTCTTCGTTTGGTATCATTTCATAAGCCAGGAATTGGTTATTGTTAACTAACTATATTCTTTAAAGTCTATGATCGTCATTTGAGGGATGGCTTTTCAATCCCTTGTAAACTGCTGGGTCTCTTAAAGAAATGTAATTCTAATAAGGGTTCAATTCCGGTCATTATTTACAAAGTTATGATAATTTAAAAGTTGTCAACATTCCGTATCCACTGTGACGATATACAGAGTTAGTGCTACCTATAATTTACGTTGAATCTTTAATGGTTCTCTTTTTAAACCGACTGAATCAAAGCTAGGAGATTATCTTCCGTCAATATTTTGCATTTGTTTTCTTATAAGAAATTAAATTAATCGTTAAATAATCTGAGTACATTTTAGTCTTGATTAAGCCGTGAAAAGTAAGATATTGTCTGAAAAATAAAAACAACGACCGGCGACTTTAAGGAAAAGATAATGTATAAATATGTAACTATTTAATTTTCAGGCCCAGAAAGCCTCTAAAGAATTGAGCCCACTACAACTTTACAAACAACTTGGGGAACTCAGAGAAAATCCAGCATTTCAATATGGCGATCTTATCTATGCTGTCGTCAACGACAATATATTTTCGTACATTCGCAATTCTGTGGGCGATTCTCGTTACCTCGTTACTATTAATTTCGGTAAAACTAATTCTAAAGACGATTATACTGACTATACAGATGGCAGAGTTCTGGGAAGAATAATTGCCCACACTGGTAATATGAAGAATGAACCTTACTATAAGAAGGACATGGAGATACCATTAAATGGTATATTATTACAGCCAGATCAAGGTTTAGTTATAGAGTTGTTAAATAAACGACAGGAACTCTAGATCACGCAAGCACACACAATATAGTTTCCTTTTAATCCATCTTTTATGTACACAAAAATATATTATTGATTTCAAAGTGAATAACCAGGTATCTCTTAGTTTACCCAATATTCATATAATTACAGTGGCCATCTTTAATATCGCACATTAAAACATAACGACGCATAATTATTGTGAAAGGACTGACCGCACTGATATTACCGCGCCCCATTTGTGCATAAATCACGCTCTTGAAGCTTCTGCCAGATGAGTTGCAAGATGTCCCCGCCAGTTATAAGGGGTAATGCATTTCTTCTCCTGGCAATCCAGCCAGTTTCTCCTACCCTTCTGACACCTGTGCTCCGAGTTCTTCATATTCGGAATTAGACAGTCTATATGCAACACAATTCTAAGGATACGGCTTCTCCGACATATCATCTCTCCTACATCTCGGTGACCATCTTCTGTCGTTACCCCTTCTGGTTTTGTATCTCTTCATTCAAAACTTCAAACACTGGAACTAATGCCCGTACGATGAGTAATCCAAATTAATCTTCAAAACACAAGATTAACAAAAGCCGCAATATATTTTTTAAGTGCAATTAACAATTATCAGCATAACGCAGAGGGGGCCGTGCCGTGCAACACGTGTTCTCGTCTTATCCTCCCAGGAAGGTTGATCCGATTCTCTTGGAGAAATGAATCATTTGTAAATCATTTAAGTCGTCAACCAAATTCGTTATGCTGAACAAATAAACAAGATCGGGTAATTTTTTTCTAACTGTATAAGGACCTGTCCAAAATGATTGAAGTGTGTGAGGAATGCTCACCCACCTCTTAGGAATATAGGTCCAAACTTGACTCCCCCCCCCCCCCCAGCAAAATCATTTTGTAAGCTGTGATGGTCATTATGTTTCTTTGCAAGCATTCATTTATTTAGGGAAAAACCAGATGAATCGTGATCACGGGATCGATGCGCGAGGAAGACTCGATCCATATGAGTATCCCAATCGCGTTGAAATTCCTCGACATAATGGCTAAGCATTGTCTGCAAGGTACGGTTGTACGTTTCTACTTAGTCGTCTGAAGCAGGATGATATGGAGTAGGTCAGATTTGATTTGGCTGCTTTGGTCTGAATGGATGCTACCAGCTACTCCAAAACGTAATATGATACAAAGTAATGCATTGACCAGGGTTCCAGCTCTCATATCGTTCATCGAAATCGCCTCAACCCATTTATTCCCATTATAAGATTCAGGAAGTGGTTTCATTATGCCGATGGCAATCCGCCCCATCGGATAACTACTGCTGCCTAAGGACGCTTACAGAGGACTTCCCAATTTCGCACATCATCTCTGAGACCTGGCCAGTAATAAAATTGGGTAAGTTTGGAATGAGTGTTGTCTGCTCCCAAATGACCTCCACTGTCCTCATCGTGGCATCTTTTGAGCATTTATTGTTTCGAGGTGAGATTTAACTGTTTAGTTTTAAAATTATGTTTAAAGGAGCTATATCGCTAATATTTGGGACCTAGAAATTGACACAAATGGGTCGCAACGCATATAATAATGTAATATGATTATAAAACTGATTTACATTCAATCGTTTCTGTTTTACTGTAATTACTAATCAGTTTTGTTCGGCTAAATACGCCAGCAGTCTCAATCGAATGGCAATCTCTAGCGTCTGGTTATTCCAGTCTACACTGATAGTATTTATTGCGCATGCTTTCCAGATTAGAATATGTCGTCACCTTTTGACACGACAAGTGGAATATGTCTAGCCTCGTTCTTCGAGTCCCTTGTTACAAATGGCGCTGAAACTAATTATGGTATACGACACGATTCGTGTACCAATGGTAAAATGTTTATTTTGTCTTAAATATTGAATATCAGAAGTCCTTCTTTTCCCGGTAAGATCACATTTAAATTGACAAATAATTCGTGTTTTCAATGTCGAATACCTTGGATGATATTGAGTTAGAGACTTAGCTACTTTAATATTAGGGTGAGGAAATGTAAAGAAACCTAGAAATTTACTAGTTTTTAATCAGCGATATTAACAAGAGTTTCCTCCCTTCCTCCCTTATTCACAATACGTTTAATGCGTTTATTTTGGTGTCTAAATGTGCTTGTGAATAACAAAATAAATGGATGAAAATCAAAAATAATGACTTTGGAATTTGTTACTTTGAAAAATATTAAGCAAATATACCATTCAGCACTGCGCAACTACAGGGTAAATAACTCAACATGGGAAATCACAAAGTCTCACAGAGATACCTGAATATATACACTACAATCATCATGGACATATTTTGTTATAAATTTTATTCAATATCTATTCACACCCAACACATTGTTTAATCTTAGATTGTACACTAATAGTGCACTATTGAATGTGGAAATGTAATAATAATAGCTTCTCGTACAAAAATGAAAAAAAAAATATATTCAAAACCAGTTTTGGAATCAGGTTGATAGGCCTATTATCTTTCAAATGAAGCATTTTTTTTTATTTCAGCTAACATGTTGCCTTTAAATGAATTACTTGAGCACATATAGGCAAAATTGATATTTTTAAAGGTTTGTGCATGTGACCTGAAAAATAAAGAAAATCCAATTTGTTTACATTTCGTGGTTTTTTTTCTCTTTCTTTTCGTTATTATCCTCGCTTCATACGACTCTTGAATTGTATTTTTAAAACTTTATGACCCATGCATAATAACTTATATTCTTTACCAAGTATTGAAACTCATCAGCGACAATTGGTTCTGGGAAGGCTTTCAGAGACAATTATGGCTAAGTTCTTCAAGTCTGGAATGGTTTTTCGTATCTATTAAACAGGCAATATGCAAGAGTTAAATATGCCTATTACAGGTCTTTCTTCAGGCCTTAAATGTTATATAAATTTATTAGACATCAATTATCTTACCAACTCCCGATGCCATCAGATGGCTTGGATAATAAATATATTTAAATACGTTTTGCGACTGATAAAATAACCGTAAAAATGGATAATCAAGACATTGTTTATTATCGTAGCAATGACAATCGAGTCTAAACTGTTATTATATCGCCGTTAACAAGGCTTGGGAAGAAGTTTGACTGAAATGTTCAACATAATTCCCTTTCATTATCTATTTTTTAACTATTATCTTTATTCTTTATCTAATCTTACCTAATTCCAGTTTAATTAATGGATAAGCTCAAGTATTTACATCAAAACATATACTATACAGGATTATCACTAGAAGCGTTAACATAAATAAACAATAATGGATTAAATACTTAACTAATTAGCTTCTACCCCGATTGACATTAACCATGACACATTCATTACTATCTAAAACTTACTGGCCATTATGCCTGGTCATATGTGCCTCCTCGACACTCATAAAAATAACACACAAAATATTAGTAATTAAATAGTAATAATACTAATTGAAAAATATACTGGATACTATCATGAATTATATATTTAAAATTGTATTATCAATCAGTTTCCTTCTTCGGTTGCAGTGCAACACAAGAATATTAGCTATTATTATTATGTGCCCATTTATCCACAGTTCAATTATCTAGAAATTTGTATCTTTGTCTGTAATGTGTCATTTGTCTGATAAAATTCTGGTTCTTCTTTAATTACTTTCTGTTTCCATTCCCACTCAGTGAAGCACCCAATCAATGTTCGAGTTCTGTATATCCGTCTTTCAATCTGGAAATACTGTATACCAGTTTATGGATCTTGAAATTGAGCATTCACTCTGAATCTTTTACCATATGGATATAGGGTTTCATCACATTCACACATTCTGATTTCCGCCTGTCTTGCTGGGAAAGTTCATATGTCATATTTGGAAATGGTTCTGGAATCTTATTCTTGTTTACCTCAGTCCATGCCCTTCCACACTCATCAACATCACATTTCGAGACCCAAGTATTTACTGCATGTAATTTATTTATCCACTTAGTTAAATTTTCAAATTCACCATACGACGTCTTCTGCTTTTCTGTAAAATTTGCTCTATTTGGCATATCCGATTGTGATATTATTTCTGTCCTCATTTCCTTCGTTGTTTGAAAATGCCAGTTATCAACAGACTAAGTTGTGGTTGTAACCATTAATGTTTGTAATTGAATATTTTTATCAGATATATTCCTGCTTACAGTTTGGGACTCACCGCCTTTTCTTGAACACCACGTCCCTTGTTCATTTGAACCTACAGTTAAAGAATTAATCTTTTTTTTAAACTTCTGGCATCTAAGAATATGCCATGTGGATATATTTGTTATGAAAGTATTTTCTACAATCTGGGCTACTGATTATCTGCGAGTAATCCATTTCATGTGAGGTACGGCAGGTAGGTCTATCAGAATTAAAAATTGACTCTGGAGCACTCACTGTTTTTAAGAGAACTGCCGCACTGCTTTGTAAAGAAGCAGTGGGGCAATACCGCCATGATTTCAAGTGAAAATTCTGTACTATTTGAGAGAGGGAAAGTATCATAAATATCGTACTTCTAAGACAAAGTACAGGTCATTCACATTACAAAAACGGGATTTTGGAATTGAAATATTTTCTCGCGCCCGGCGGTAGACACCCCGCCCCATGCCCCAGTGCTTCAAATTCGTTAAAATAAATGCCCTGTACAAAGACGATGCCATAATAACGTTGCTACCAACAACATCTATAATCAACTCTTTGATCTGTCAGTTGCGCTTGACACTGCAGACCCTAAGATTCTACTAAATCGACTTTCTACTGAATTTAGCATCGTTGATTCTGCTATAAAACTACTGCAATCATACTGTGCAAATCGTGGAAAATGCTCTGTCATTAAAACCTGTAATGACAGTCAAATTACATCATTAGCCAGGGACATATAGATGTTTTATTCGATGAACGTGTATGTATGGAAGCTCAGGTAAACTATTATATAAGAAAACTAAGTCAGATTAGAACATTTGTCACAAATGATGAAACAAAAACTTTCATCAATTCGTATGTCACCCCGAGACAATATACTCCCATTTCTTTGAACTCTGGTGCACCAAACACATATATCTTCTCTACTAATATTTGTGCCTGTCGCTTGTCTGTCTGTTTGTCTGTCTGTCTGTCTGTTCGGGGTTGGCGGCTACACTAGGTCTGCCCCGAGCCTGACTTTTGGAGTATAGGGGTAGCTCGGACCGGGGAGTAACATAGGCCAGGTGGCGTTAGTCTACCACTTCCGGTTTCGGAGTTATGACCCCCGAGCAAAGCCGGTCTGTTCGGGGTTGGCGGCTACACTAGGTCTGCCCCGAGTCTGAAATTTGGGGTATAGGGGTAGCTCGGACCAGGGAGTAACATAGGCCAGGTGGCGTTAGTCTACCACTTCCGGTTTCGGAGTTATGACCCCCGAGCGAAGCCGGGTATCCTGCTAGTAAATTTATAAACAGCAAATAGTGCAAAATTTATTCTGCAGCTAGCTTAGTAATCCAAACTAAACCAGCATCTCATATTACTCCCATATTGTATAATCTATATTGGTTACCTATTTCCTTTAGAGATAAGTTCAAAATACTCCTTCTTACTTATAAATTCTTAAATAACCCCTGCCCCTCATATTTGTCTGGGCTCATTGGTTTAGTAGCACGTTGTGCAAAAGTATGTTTATTTGGTAATAGTAAAAACAGTCGCTTGAAAGCCTATAAAGTAAAAGTGGTTCTGTCCCGGAGTCAAGGTCAGTATTTCCATCAGTCCAACTGGGATGCTCCGGGGCACAAAACAGTTCGTTCTTTCCTTCAAGCATTTATCATTTTGAAAACATACGATGATGCTCTACGACCATGTTTATCTTGAAGATAGCTATTTGTTCAGGGATTATAGCGTCCAAGAAACCGATCGTTATCTGCTACTGTGGGTTTTCACCAGACCGATCGCATAACAATATAATACATTTATTACGCTCTCGTAAAATATAATCACCGACGATAAAATGATTCAAGCATATATTAATATCTCTTAATTGACATTCGGTAAACTTTTGCTTAGACACTGCAGTGAATCTTGCAATTATGAGTAATTTAGCGAGTAAATTGTAATGCAGTAGTCGTGTATAAACATATTTTATGTACAATAAAATAATGATAAGATCTATTTATTAGAACAATATTGTACAGAACAATAAACATATAGAGATATATAGAAATAGCGATATGGACAGAATATTATCTTTTTTAATACACTTTAAAGTTACAATTTCATATTTTTAATTTATAATTTTACAATGTATTAAAATAAAGCCCTAAAATAGATGGTATCTATAAACAGTCCTACCTTGTTAAAGAATAATCCTATAATTCACTATTGCCAGTTGAGAAATTGGCAAAAATATCATTTTCAACTTCAAATTCAGACGTTTGAAGATAGCTATTCCATGGTGGGGAATAGAAATCAAGGGAGGTAATTCGGGGGTAATTGTGTTATTATTTCTGGTGTGAAGATTTTTAAGTGTGAGAAACGTCGTATAATGGTGAGTTGACAACCTATTGAGCAAAAGACATAAAAATATTTATGTTTTGACTTTCTTAGAAAATATGAAATTGTAACTTTAATATAATGATATATGCGTGTGTTTGATATCAATGATAAGTCAATGTAGATACTCAATTATGAAACTATTGATGACCCGTATATGTCCATAGGGGTTGTTATATATAGATCAGTACTGTCCATTGAATACAAGTTTATAGAATTATTGATAATTTGTATTTCGTCTCTTATCAATCATCTGACAACAACTCAAGTTTCCGGTGTTGCTGATTAGGAACGTCTGTTTCAATAAGATTGGCAGCTGTTATAAGAAGTATCAATTTGTGTTTAATTTGATGAAGACATCGTGGACCATGTTGTCAGCAATGGGGAGAGGGGAGGGCTTTTGCTCGGACAGCTGTGGTTCCGTCTACTCTTTATCGAATTCCAACTGCCATTGGTTCTTTTACACAAGCGATTGAGTACACAGGGGCACCTAGGTATTTTTTCCCATCCGAACGACTAGACGTTTTCTGCACCACCAACAAGAATAATTAATCCATGCTAGAATATTCCGAGGAAACTTTCTGGACCGACCTTTAACACAATTATTATGGGGAAACCTCCACCACTGACTTCCTTATAATCATAAGTATAAGAGATAGTGAAGTCATATTTAAAGCTACAGATTGTTGTTATTATTTTCATGTTATAATTGATTGTTATAAATTGTTTTACTCATGGATGTACAATAATTATATGGTTATATTTATTATTGATCATTGCTTGATAAAGATACCTGTAAGAGTACTGACATGGTGCATGTAATAAACTAAGAATGAGTGAGAGAGAGAGGAATGGGGTTTAACGTCCACTCGACACAAACTAGGTCATTTTGGGACTAACATATGGTTCAATTTTATTTCCATAATTCGCTTGCGCGTAGGGGTCTTTAGCAGTGGGAGGAAACCAGAGGACCCGGAGAAAACCCACGAGGTTGGACAGGCGACCCTACTCCTTGTCACGTACAACCGGGGAATCGAAACCACGCCAGTTGACTCAATGACAGAATTTATGATACAGCGCGCACGTGCTAACCATTCAATCATCCAACCCCCCAACTGAGAATGAGTTAATCTATAAACTTGTGTTCTTATGAATTTTATACTCTTACTTCTAAATGTCTTTTAAAGATAATACAGATGGAGATTATAATACAAAGATTTCGAAAATAACTAACGTTTTAAATAACTAACACTTTAAGTAAACAGTAGCCAACTAAATATTGTCCATTGACCAATTCCAATACACACGTCCACAAAAGAACCCACAAAAGTACACACAGTGGATTTCTCAGACTTCAGCTGCGCCGTGTTAAACTGAACAGTATTTTGCCAGTCTTTATTTCGCTCAAAGAGCGACATGGTTTCTATTCAGGTCTACAGATCAATATCGTATCACGTGATGTATTCAAAATGTCACGTGACTAGTTTATGTTGATTGTATCACCCATATATGGTAGCTTAATTACATCCAGGTGAAAATCTATAGTAGTCGACTCAATAATTCATGTTTTCACTGGATGGCTGCATCTTTTCAAACTAGTAACGATCGATGTCAACACCGGGGTTTACATGCGCACTGTGGCTGAATACCTATTGGTTGGTGCGAGTAGCAGTATGATAGTTTTTCTGGTCCTTTTATACATTTTACGATTCTAGAGAAATTGCTTATATTAGGTAAGTTCTTATCAAATACATTAATTTAATTCTTACATTTTCGAATAAGTTTCCAGTTAACATCGTTTAATAAAGTTAGCTCTGCACTAAACATGATATTTAACTAGATAATAGTAAGTGATTGTTCTCCGTTATTGAAGGTAGGTAAATCATCAGTGTTTGGAGAAGAACTATATTTTTTTTATAACAAGAATATAAATAGGCGATGAATTTTAAATGTATGTGTTAAGCGTGAAATATGTATGAGGCTGTCATTAAAGAACTGGGTAATACTAATTTGATGACTGACAGATGCGTTAAGGGACAATAATTGAATTGTTATTTTGAGTCAACAAAGACTGCGAATAATTGACAGTCCGTCAAGCTTGACTTATTCTGTTCGCATGCCAAGCAAACCCACTTTTATGAAAGACGCGCACGCAACTTGAATATTAAAATTACATGTACAATATTTTACATATTGATATACATGTTGTACACGTGAGCTATATTGACAGAATTTACAATGGAAATAAAACAATTAAATACACAATTCATGCACATCATTTACAAGGTGTGTTATTTTACTTAATAAATTAGAATGATCATGTTCAAATGTTGCTGTGCTGACTATGTATAGAATATTGTAGAACTGATAATAATACTGACTAAATTGAGACTATATAAAAAAGTTTAATTGTGGCATATAAATGAGATATCACCTGCGATATCACATCGGTGGAAGCGGACGTTAAATAAAGCTATTTCACACACACATATAACTGAGAGAAAGTCGTTGACAACGTCCTGGATCACAATTTAATCGAGATCGAAATGAATACAAAATTCATAGCAACCTGACCTGAACCTGTTCACTAATTTTTGTTCTATGGGGTTTTATAATGTTGTTGAGTTGGGTTTGGGTTTTTTTTTCCGCGCGGGGGGGGGGGGGGGGGGGGGGGTGGGGGGGTACAAGTAATACTCGTGGTAATTAATTCCACCTGGAATCTCTAATTATCAGTATGTCTAATTATTTTCGTCTCATTATTTTAACAGTGTTTTTTTTAATGTTGTTGGGTTGGTTTTGGGAGATTTTTTTCGCGGGGGGGGGGGGGGGTACAAGTATTTATCGTAATAATTGATTCCACCTGGATTCTCTAATTATCGGTATGTCTGATTATTTTCGTCTCATTATTTTAACAGTGGAAGCAATTGTGGATATAACTGGTAATTGTCACCGAAAATATCCTTTGATAATGTCATGAAGTCAGTTTTGTTTTGATTTAGAATACTATGCTAAGATAGCAAATTTATCTTACATACTTTTATAATTAATAGAAGTAAACACATGAGTATACATGTAAACATACTGTGTAAACTCGTTTACACTTAAATTTGCGCTGTCAGTGCGATATCATTGTGCTTTATATTAGGTCAAATATAATAAAGAAAATAGGGTTTCTTGGCCACAGATAGGGTCGGACCAAAATTCTTCTTTTTTCATAAATTAATATTTTAAACAGGCATTATGTAGGAGCTAAATCTGCCTATTGCTGGTCTTTCTTTGGGCATTAAATGTTATATAAATTAATAATTAGACATTTAGTAACATGACAAGACCATAATCAACTCTCGATGCCATCGGATGGCTCCGATTTTAAGTAGATTAGAACGGTTCGGCCATTTAATGGAGAAGCGAGGCTAAGTCCCGAATGATCATTACGGTGGTTACGATCAATGCACACATCTTGTCAAAACTACAACCACTGATAACATCGCTCAAAAAAAGTAATTTGAATGAAATTTTCAATATATTCAATTTGCATTATGTTTGAAATAATATAGCGAGAGCGCCAAGCTTTTCATCAAAATCTTACATAATGCCTCAAGTAATGTACCGATACTTGCAGTCCATTAAGCATGTGTTATTTCATTTTAAATATCGTAAAATGGTGATTCGGACTGTTGTATATATCGAAATTTCAGCGTCTTCAGAAATCCGCACTACGACCAATTTATAGGAACTGGGAAATGAAATTAAAGTTTTGAGTCGGCGATTTGGGCTAAAAATAAAATACAGAGTATCGGGGTAGGGTAACAGTAAACATGTAAATTCTTGTTTTTTGGCTTTATATGCTATTGGTAACCAAACTAGATTTTGATCTTTGCTATTCGCTTTTTGTATAAATTGTATTAATGATTCATACACTTTTTTTTTCTATATTTTTAGTTAAAATTTCTTATATTGTCCTTTACACTTTCTTGCAACACAATACAAATATTTATAAAATAGACCCTATATAACTATAATCAGCATTGCACCTGGTTTATAAAACACCGTGTGATGCTATATTTAGTTAGAAACTGTCAATGTGGCTGTTTCCAAGTAAACCATCAACTTTAAGCTGGGATTAACTCTTACTGTCAGTGGAGAGTTGACGTTGATTGTAAAATCAATGTCATTTATAATAGTATCGGTGGTGTGCTTTATTGTCACAGCAGCTATACTGAACCACCTTTAATACTCCTGATAGAAGAAGAAGAAATGTTGATTAAAGTATCACGCGGTGTACATTTATTCATTTAAAAATGTAATTTATAAGAACATCACCCGTACATAGTGGTCTATACATTAAATACTATTTAACAACATATTTATACATATTAGATATTATACAACAACATCTGTATGAATATTAAATACTATAAAACAACATCTTTGTTATATATCAGCATTAAATATAATAAAACAACATTTATATATGCACGCAACTTTCTAGAAAACAGCATCTTTATGTCTATTAAATACTGTAAAATATATATTTTTATGCGCATTAAAAAAATTAAAAAAAGTTTATTTAAACATCATTATGTAAATCAAAATACAACTAATTAAAATTTAAACACATTTAAGTAAACACTAATCTATTGGTGCCGAATGAACACACTCGTACACGTGTAAATCATATTATGTTAATCAATTACTCTAGTAAATTAAATATTTATGGTAAACAAAGGTATTTGTATCTTTTGTGATAATGTCTAGACAGTCGGAGGAGGGGGGGGGCGAATGGTTAGCACGTGCGCGCTGTGTCATAAGGCCTGCCATTGAGTCAACTGGTGTGGTTTCGAATCCCCGGTTGTACGTGACAAGGATTAGGGTCGCCTGCCCAACCTCGTAGGTTTTCTCCGGGTTCTCCGGTTTCCTCCCACTGCTAATTAAAGACCTCTCTCTCTCTCTCTCTCTCTCTCTCTCTCTAGACAGAATTTCAATCTTCGGGATATTAAATGTCAATAATATGATTTGATTTGTATATGTATATAACACAGCACGACATTTAAGCGCAATCAACACCATTTCAGATCTAGCTACAACTCTCTTTCATAGACACATTCTAATATGAAACAGGAAAGGTTCAAGTGAGTCCATTTCTGTAAGGTTTAAGTTGTCACTGATATTATTAAAACCGCGAATAATTGCGACATCACTGTCAAGTATAGAATGCGATTTTTCATCTGTCGACAATGGAAATTATTTAATCAAGTTAATTGGTCGGTACTGTAACTGACCATTATTATTTATTTCTAGAGTCTTATTTTCCCGATCTCCGTTATAATTGCACTTTAACTAGAATTCATATTATAGACAGCCAGCGACAGTTACCAGTTCTTTGTTCATCTCCAAAACCTGTCTTTGTCCTAGAATAAGAGACGAGTGAGTCACGGTTGTTATGTTTCAATGAATAGATGTAATATTATGCAAGTTTATTGAATTAAATCTGAACGTTGAATGTCGTCTGTAATTATATCAATTCCATCATTTAATGACCGCCATGCTGTTGTTGTTGTTCTTGCTAAACTTTCCATGACAATTAGTTAACCTAAAACATAACAAGCCTGTTTCATATTTTATATATTATTTACTAAAAAAAATAATCTATTAATTGCAGTCTTGTGTTGATATTTACTACTCTCATCAAGTGATTGTTTGATAATTATCATTATCTTCGATAGTACTTTGATTCTATCTTTACATAATAAGCACGATGATCTTAAAACACATCGAATGAATATTGGATTGCGGCTTAATATATTATATATCCACATAATTATCAACATATCGGATCGGGAAGATGTTATAGGATGGACTAGGATTACAGGGTAATGTGATTTAGATGGTATTGTGCTATTTAATGAAATGCGCGGATTAATAGGAAGGTCGTGTGTTATAGGGTTATCAGTCATCGTACTTGGCATTATATAGATTGACTTGCAGCTTTTAAACTATAATATATTACAACACACGGTTGTATAATAACAGCATTCAAAATACACAATCATTTATCATCATTCGATAAGACACCTGTTTGAAAGGACATGAGGTAACCATGATGGAAAATCCAGGGATATTTTCTAGGCCAATATTAAAACCGTGTCTCCATCATTGAATTGATTTTATTGTATGTTGTCTTAGGTCTTACTCGTAATAAATATATAGCATATTATCAGCCAACATAATGCAACTGGTACCATACAGCAGCTTGTCTGAAATACACAATACACAATAAATCTATATGAATGTCGTATTTCACCAAAGTAATAGTCTTAGAAAAGAATACACTGTAAGATTGGTAGTCGTGTATTTAAAGATCATCTGTTCGTTTCAATTTGGACTGCTTTGCGAGGACTATCGATTATATTCAATGACGAAATAAAATAATATAACATTGTATGTTACACAGGATAACTTTCTAATCTTTTCATAGTTGAAAGTATAGTAAATAAATTATTTAAATAAGTGTGCTATAGCATACATAAGTTTGTATATTTCTGCTTACTTTGTATAATATCACACAAAGGATGCTAGCGAAATTGTGCCTGCCTGGATCAAAGTCACGTTTTCTTTGATAATCTATACACCAAAATGAAAACAGTTTAAATAATCTTTTAAAACAGATTTATTGATGTAATATATTCATATATTTTTGAAAAGTTTGTTTAATATCGAATTGTAGGAGATA